TCCATCTTCACAACAATTGTGATTAGGGGAAATTAAAGTTTGGATCTTTTTTTCTCCTGTTAACATTATATCTTTTGACATATTATAGATATATGGAGACTATTCTCATTCTCTGGCTGGGAAATAAAGATAGACCACAACTAATTCTTATATTGAATTTGGTCAAACAATGCATAGGCTTTACCAAATCAAACTAATCTAATAATTTTTCTATAAACTTGATATTTACCAGGACATACTTCCCACATTATAGGCATTCTGATAATATTCCTAAAATAAGATTTACCACAAGAGTACTTTGAAATTTACAATTAATAATGCCAGGTGTAACAATTATTGCGATGGATACTTATGAACTTGGGTGAAGCCAGTGTAATAAGCTAGTTACCATATAATTTTTAAATCTCAAAAATACCAGGCTTATAAAAAAATGAAAAAATTTCATGTATTGATTTTTCACTCTTTTATAAGCCTTTTTTCCTTACTATTTTTTCTACTAAACAGTAGAAGAGCTTCTTTAAACTGATATACCCTGGCATAGTCTTTCTGCAGACTTGGAATACATTTGAACCCTAGCCAACAAAATAAACTTTTTACCATTTTCTAAGGGAAAAATTTGCTGCTGCATGGAAAAGTTAAGTCAAACAGACATTCTTCCTCACTATTATACCATACGTTTCTAAATTCAACACTTGTATCACTGGTGAGTTTTCTGTTTAGTCCCTCCATTGAACGATTTGATGTTGTTTTGTAGGAAAAAGAAACATTTCCATTGAAAGGGCACTTTTCATGATGGCCGACTTAATTAAGGAGAAGGCAACGATTGTGACCGTTTTGCTAAATAATTAAAGTAACTCACTTAACCATTATTCAAATAAATCATTTTATTCAAATGAACCTTTATCTGTATCATTTTCTTCTATACTGGGTCTTTCAATCATACTCAATTTTGGACAAATTCGTGGAGGTAGTTTGTTTCTGAAAAAAAGTTTAATATTTCAATATTGACCAAATTATCCAAAATAATTGTGTAATCACATTTTTTATCATATACAGATTGTTCATTAATCTGTCTGCTATTACAGCATCCACAGCAAGAGAGAATTGATAGTTTCTATAAATGAAATTTACTTGTTTCATGGATGCTGTCATGTTAGTTTGTTAAATACTCTTTGTACCATTGTTTTTGTTTGATAGGGATATCATTTAAATGCCTAGTTTTTATAATGTGGATTAATCCACATCATTTACATTAGAAAAACCAGCATTTACACAATACCCCTACTGCACCAAAACAGTGGTACGAAGATAGATCAAACTTTAGGTCTCTCATTTCCAAACACCACAATATATCATTAAACAAGAAAAATGTCAATACTGTTCAAAAACGTTTGTGGAAAAATTTAATATCTTTTAAGTGAGGGTATTTTTGATTCAATTGACAGAATAAATTTGGTATAATCATATTAAAAGATCTCAACAATAACTATACAATTAATGAAATTTCTTTACATCCCTGAAATCTCCAAAATACCATTAATATACCAAAATTTTATCTTCTATTGTCAAATAAATCAAGAAATATAGTGTCTGATTTTTTCATGTTTATGTTTTTTGAATATCCAAGTAGCTTGCAATCAAACCATAGCTTATCTGATATAAGAAATTATAACAAAAATAAGAAGATTACCTGATCTGGTTTATTTATAACGTATTCAATTTTTTTATGTATTTCAAAGAATATTTTTTAAATAAATGGCAAAGAATAATTGTATACAGTCTCTCCTTGGCTTACAACAGGGTTATGTTCCAAAAAACACATCATAAGTTGAAAATAAAAATAAATAAATAAATAGTCTATATACAAATTTATACAGTACTGTAATGTTAATGCTATGGATCCAGACATCATGGCAGCCTTTAACCAGGCATAGCTCATCATCACTTCGCCCCACATGGAACACCTAAGATGGTTGGTGGCTGTTCATATATAAATCTAGCCTTATTGCTACACGCATCAATTATAAAGAGGAGTTGGTTTTGTCAGTAGTCTAGCAGGTACTGATTGACATCGATGTTTAAATGCCAAGATCTGCTAGCCATACAAATGCACATGCATGACATGACATATATTTCTCAAGTGTTGGATTTTAACAATTCATCAAATATTCATATTCCAAATGCTTTATGTTCCATCAGAATTCCTTTTAACACCTAAAGAACTTGGAAGTTCGAAAACGTTAGTGGTAAACTTTCTCTTTTGTTTTTTCATTGCACATTGGTCATCAGTTTATAGGATATGTTGTTTACTGTAATGTTGCATATTGTACAATATGTAACATGAGTTTGGGCTATTGTTGATTGCAATAGCCCAAACTCACAAATGATTGCCATAACTGCCATGCTTAGATATTATCTTAAGTTTTTCATTGAGATACAGTGGAGCATTTTGCAGACATAATGAGTATACTGTAAATCACAAGATGACATAAGATGGTATATATAAAAAATAGTCTCAAGAAAGATCATTAATGCATCAGTAGAGTAGCTTGAATTCAAATTCTGTTTTTCCCATGCTTTTGCTTCACTTGCATCAGTCATCATATGTGCAAAATATCTTTTGTCAAAACATTGTAAATCAAGTAGCATCTGTATTATGCCATATCATGTACCAGGTACTCTGATTATATAAGATTAAATATTAATGATAATTAAAATAAAACTATTTAAATATTTGTTAAATTGTTGAAAATATATTTAATAATATTTATGTATTAAATATAATATAAAAAATTTATAATTAAAATTTTACATGCTTCTGTATAATTAAATTGTATTAAATTATGATTTTGTATAATCTAATTAAATTTGTAATTATTTAAATATCAAGAGCAGCTTGTTTTTATTACATAAATATACAAATTTGTTTTTAGTTTGTTCCTAAACATGTAAGATAAATTTAACTGAATGATTTACTTAACTAATGGAATACAAATAAATTCAACTACTCAAAACTGGAAATAAATTAATAAACACTGCACAAATAACCAATATCCAACAAGAAAAAATTACAAGAAAGTAAACGTTTTCACCTGTGTTTAACGGACATTGTGATCATTAAACATAGTTGAAAACAAATAGAATACAAATTCAAATAACATTTTAATTTTCTCGAATTTTGTTATTTAAATTCGTTCTGTTAGTCAAATATTTTATTGTAAGCTAAAGATGTTTCTCAAAAAGTCAAAACTGTTGTCTATTAAAAAAATTAATTACTAAATTATAAAGTCAAACAAATTGTGAATATTTTGTACTACTAGAAGTATATTTTATACTAAATTTAATCTAATAGTTTTTTTAAATATAAGCAATATTTTAGTATACATAATTCAAAAAGCTAAGTTCTTTTATAATCATTGTGTTAATTTTGTATTTAAAATATTATTGATTTATTGATTGTATAAAACAAATAAATATAGTTGTACATTTTACTTTTAAACAATAGCTGATTTTACTCTTTTTTAGAAGAAATATATAGTATAGTATTGTTTTACACAGAGGTTGCATGTCAGCAGATACCATGTAAAGCAAAATTAAGCATAAATTTATGCTCTACCCTAAGTAATCACAGATGGTTGCTTAGCCATTTATATAATTATTTACAGTTAATAGAAAACAATTAAAATGTGTTTAAAACATTTTACTTATTTTTTACTATAATGAATAGCATTTATTTCAATGTTATTAAATATTTAGAGCAAAAGTTTACTATACAATATTGAGTACACTAGAAAAAGATACATGCAAACTAGGATATTCACCACAGTGAGTGGCATTTCAGTAATTCTTCATGTTGGGAATGTCAGATGCTGGAGAAACATAGTTTGCTGAGTTAGGTTCAGTGATACCCAAGAGCAGGTTAATCAACCATTAGCCAGTTGTGAAAACAAACATGAATCTGCATACATAAATCTCATGTAAAACAAGAACCAACTATACTATAAAATGAAAATTTAAACTCATATTGTCATTTGGTGATAAAATAAAAAATGTAAATTCACAAACATACATTAATAAATAAAAATAATACCATTTTATTATAAAAGTTATGCATGACTGAAAATTTACATATTAATATTTCTATATTTTTTAATTTAATAAATACAAGTTATATTCAAAATATGTAAATTTTTGACAGGAATATTATTTAAATTCTCACAATACTTAATTATAACATTTATTCTTATTACAGTTTTTTTAAAACTTAAGTTTTATAAGGAAAGAATACAGTGTTAAATCACTTTTAATATAATGAAGAAATTTTAGAATTGAAATCATTTTAGTACTATTTCTTTGCAACAGATAAATTATATTTATTTTCATATATGTGATGATTTTCTTACAAATTATTTTGTATATTTTAATAAATGACAAATTTCAAAATAAACTAGAAATGCAATGTCCAAATTTTAGTAAATATTAAAAAATTTTTACTAAAATTAATTGTCATAGTTATCAAAGGGATTTTTTGAATAACTTCAGAAAAATGATATAATATTTTTGCTTGTAATATTATGAAAATTATTTACAATTATTTGTTTACAATATAATGAATTTAATTGCTTGAAAGATTTTTAGATTATTTTGGCATATTTGAGAACAAATTGCTTAAATATCAAAATATTGTTTGAGAAAAATAATTTGAGGAAAAATTATAAATTTCAATCTGCATTATTTATAAGAAAAACTTAATTTCAAAATATTAATTAGAACTGTTCTAGTTACAATTATTTTTAAGATAAATTTCCTTTAAATAATAATTAACATCATTAGTTTAATGTCAGATTTATATAAATGTCATGAATAAATTTTAACATATTGAAAATGTTTAATTATCATACATTATTAAAATCAATAATCAAGATATAAGTACTGATATTTTTCTTATTGAAATAAATATAAAAGTTTTTTGAATACATTTTCTTCACTTTTATTTTTAGAAAATCAACATTCTTTAATGTTTTAACTGCCAGTCAAGTTGCTGCTGAGAATTTTCCATTCTGCACCATTGATCCTAATGAAAATAAGTATTTAATAAATTTAATAATTTTATATATTTAGAAAATACTTTTTCAGATTATAATACTGTAAATTATGTATTCAAAAACTCACTATTTATGAGTTTAATAAACTAACATAGTTTAAATAATAAATATTATTTTAAAAATACATTGCTATTCAAAATGAAAAATTGACTTAAAGGTACTTAAATTTCAAGAAATCTTACAAATTTAAATAATTGAAAGCATTTGATTATTGTTTTAGATACGTCGAGTACCTGTTCCGGATGAAAGATTTGATTACCTTTGTGAATATTTTCAACCTGCAAGGTAAACTTAAATATTTTAAATAAATTTTGTAAATATGTAATATAATTAAAATTATTTAAAGCTGATAACTTTAAAGTTGGATAATAAGGAAAACAGTTTAAAAAATTGTATAAAAAATTGAAATATACAGGTATCCCTTGATTAACACGGTTAATTAATCTACCATGTATACAAAAATCATGTTAATCAAATATGGTATCTATGTTAAGTAAAGACAGCTGGTAAAACTGCATTAATTAAAACTTCTGTTGCATATATAAAAAGGATTCCTGCAATTAATTTTGCACTTTAATCAAATCCAGTGTTAAGCGAGGGAAATCTGTAGTATATATTTTTTTATCTTTTTATATTACAACCTTATATTGAAAAGATACTCTTTTCATGTTAAAAATGAGAACAAAATTATAACATATATTGCTCTGTAACAAATATAATTTCTTGATTTTATTTTATATAAAAGAATTCTCAAGGATTTTGAAATCAGAAAATGCAAATTAATATATATTAGTTTTTAATTTTGTACTTAGATAATAAATATTAAGGTTTTCTTTTTAACATATTTTCTAAAATTTCATTTAGAATTTTCAGACAGAATATTTTATTTTTGTATGATTTATGGAGAAATTTCAAAGTTGATTATGTTATTGTTATAATTATGACATGAGAAAATTATACAAATTTTTTGTTACATTATTTTTATTGAAATATGTTTATATTATATATATATATATATATACACACAGCATACTTTTGCCTGGAATGTTATAATTTCTCTTACAATCATTATTAAAGTTTTACATTTGATCTTATGATTAATGTACTATAAATTATACATGATTTATGTTGGTGTATTTTCTAAAATTCTTTAGAACAAATATTAATGATGTACTGTGGTATTAGAAGTTTTAATCTTAAAAAAAAAAGGATATAAAAATTAATTCTCTGACATCTAACTTTTGTGAAATATTTTAATTAATTAATTTAACACATTTAAATAAAATTCCAGTTTAATAGCTGATAAGGAAATGAGAGCAATGTCATCCAATGCCAATTAATACCTTTGATTTATATACACTTTTTGAATTTAATTTTAATTAATTATCTTCTCATCATTCATATAGTGTGTGAGATATTTATTAGCCGGATTTTCCTTTCTGATAAATTTCCTTCAAGCAACTCAACATCAAAATTTGATTGATTCCCATATTGATAAACATTTCATGATCTACAAAAATTTAATTGCTTTTTTAAAGAAAGAGTAATAATTAATTTTATGGATATTAAGTAAAAAATAATATCCGAGTTTAATTTTCATTAAGTTTTTTATGGTCNAGAATCTTTTGCTCATGCATATAAGATGATCTAGGAATTTGAAACTGTGATAAATGAATAAAAATCTTGTCTTATAACCGAGTAAATATGGTATTTAAAAATCTATGAATACATTCAAATAGGACATTGTGAATCTCATTATAAAAAAATATACAATATAATGCTATAACAATATATCCATCAAAAGTTAACAAAGATTTATACATACAAATTTACATTAGATATTAACTTTTTAAATAGAAAAAATACATTTTTGTTTTCAATGAGTATGTGTTACCATATGAAATGAATTTAGCAAATTATATGAATAAATCAACGAACATTTCCAAGATATCTGATTAATTTTTTTTTTATGAAATGAATCTGAAATATAATTATTTTAATGTTTAACAAATAATATACATTTTGATAATTGCAGTTTCTCAATACATAGGTCCTGACACTGCTGTATAAAATTAATTATGTTTCATTTATTTGTTTCAGATAAAAGAACATGAATAATGGCTGACGCAATGCATGCACATCTTCCATTATTTTCCCTCTTCTTCCTACAACAACTAGAGATTACGTATTCTTCAATGGTGTAGTTACTTGTATTAGCTGTTGTTCATGTTCTTTTATCTGAAACAAGCAACAAATGGAACATATGAATAATTTTCAGTAGGGGGTGACAGGACTTTGTGCCCATGTACTGTACATAGCTTATAAATTGTTTAATATCATAAGTGAATAAAAAGTCCAATAATTTTAAAAAATTTTAATTTATTACATAATAATTATACAGACTGTACAGATGTTATATACTGCTAACATATTCAAATATCGATTCTATATATTTTTCATTAGTCTTCATTATCTGATGCAATGTATCAAAATCACTAGAAATATCAATATTTCTATACTTAAAAAATATTTATACTACTTAAAATATAGTCTTACTACATTACTTTGTTTGACTAATATCAATGTAGATGAAACAAAATATATAATTTTATTATTTTTATAATAGTTATTGTATTTGCTTTTTGAATGTAGGAAAAGATGACATGAGTCAAATGATTCATCAGGGGAAAAAAATTCAGCGACATATCATATAAAATTTAGTGACAGTTCAATATCAGTTCATTGAAAGAAAAGAACTGATATTGAACTTTGTTGTCCATCTTCACAACAATTGTGATTAGGGGAAATTAAAGTTTGGATCTTTTTTTCTCCTGTTAACATTATATCTTTTGACATATTATAGATATATGGAGACTATTCTCATTCTCTGGCTGGGAAATAAAGATAGACCACAACTAATTCTTATATTGAATTTGGTCAAACAATGCATAGGCTTTACCAAATCAAACTAATCTAATAATTTTTCTATAAACTTGATATTTACCAGGACATACTTCCCACATTATAGGCATTCTGATAATATTCCTAAAATAAGATTTACCACAAGAGTACTTTGAAATTTACAATTAATAATGCCAGGTGTAACAATTATTGCGATGGATACTTATGAACTTGGGTGAAGCCAGTGTAATAAGCTAGTTACCATATAATTTTTAAATCTCAAAAATACCAGGCTTATAAAAAAATGAAAAAATTTTATGTATTGATTTTTCACTCTTTTATAAGCCTTTTTTCCTTACTATTTTTTCTACTAAACAGTAGAAGAGCTTCTTTAAACTGATATACCCTGGCATAGTCTTTCTGCAGACTTGGAATACATTTGAACCCTAGCCAACAAAATAAACTTTTTACCATTTTCTAAGGGAAAAATTTGCTGCTGCATGGAAAAGTTAAGTCAAACAGACATTCTTCCTCACTATTATATCATACGTTTCTAAATTCAACACTTGTATCACTGGTGAGTTTTCTGTTTAGTCCCTCCATTGAACGATTTGATGTTGTTTTGTAGGAAAAAGAAACATTTCCATTGAAAGGGCACTTTTCATGATGGCCGACTTAATTAAGGAGAAGGCAACGATTGTGACCGTTTTGCTAAATAATTAAAGTAACTCACTTAACCATTATTCAAATAAATCATTTTATTCAAATGAACCTTTATCTGTATCATTTTCTTCTATACTGGGTCTTTCAATCATACTCAATTTTGGACAAATTCGTGGAGGTAGTTTGTTTCTGAAAAAAAGTTTAATATTTCAATATTGACCAAATTATCCAAAATAATTGTGTAATCACATTTTTTATCATATACAGATTGTTCATTAATCTGTCTGCTATTACAGCATCCACAGCAAGAGAGAATTGATAGTTTCTATAAATGAAATTTACTTGTTTCATGGATGCTGTCATGTTAGTTTGTTAAATACTCTTTGTACCATTGTTTTTGTTTGATAGGGATATCATTTAAATGCCTAGTTTTTATAATGTGGATTTATCCACATCATTTACATTAGAAAAACCAGCATTTACACAATACCCCTACTGCACCAAAACAGTGGTACGAAGATAGATCAAACTTTAGGTCTCTCATTTCCAAACACCACAATATATCATTAAACAAGAAAAATGTCAATACTGTTCAAAAACGTTTGTGGAAAAATTTAATATCTTTTAAGTGAGGGTATTTTTGATTCAATTGACAGAATAAATTTGGTATAATCATATTAAAAGATCTCAACAATAACTATACAATTAATGAAATTTCTTTACATCCCTGAAATCTCCAAAATACCATTAATATACCAAAATTTTATCTTCTATTGTCAAATAAATCAAGAAATATAGTGTCTGATTTTTTCATGTTTATGTTTTTTGAATATCCAAGTAGCTTGCAATCAAACCATAGCTTATCTGATATAAGAAATTATAACAAAAATAAGAAGATTACCTGATCTGGTTTATTTATAACGTATTCAATTTTTTTATGTATTTCAAAGAATATTTTTTAAATAAATGGCAAAGAATAATTGTATACAGTCTCTCCTTGGCTTACAACAGGGTTATGTTCCAAAAAACACATCATAAGTTGAAAATAAAAATAAATAAATAAATAGTCTATATACAAATTTATACAGTACTGTAATGTTAATGCTATGGATCCAGACATCATGGCAGCCTTTAACCAGGCATAGCTCATCATCACTTCGCCCCACATGGAACACCTAAGATGGTTGGTGGCTGTTCATATATAAATCTAGCCTTATTGCTACACGCATCAATTATAAAGAGGAGTTGGTTTTGTCAGTAGTCTAGCAGGTGCTGATTGACATCGATGTTTAAATGCCAAGATCTGCTAGCCATACAAATGCACATGCATGACATGACATATATTTCTCAAGTGTTGGATTTTAACAATTCATCAAATATTCATATTCCAAATGCTTTATGTTCCATCAGAATTCCTTTTAACACCTAAAGAACTTGGAAGTTCGAAAACGTTAGTGGTAAACTTTCTCTTTTGTTTTTTCATTGCACATTGGTCATCAGTTTATAGGATATGTTGTTTACTGTAATGTTGCATATTGTACAATATGTAACATGAGTTTGGGCTATTGTTGATTGCAATAGCCCAAACTCACAAATGATTGCCATAACTGCCATGCTTAGATATTATCTTAAGTTTTTCATTGAGATACAGTGGAGCATTTTGCAGACATAATGAGTATACTGTAAATCACAAGATGACATAAGATGGTATATATAAAAAATAGTCTCAAGAAAGATCATTAATGCATCAGTAGAGTAGCTTGAATTCAAATTCTGTTTTTCCCATGCTTTTGCTTCACTTGCATCAGCCATCATATGTGCAAAATATCTTTTGTCAAAACATTGTAAATCAAGTAGCATCTGTATTATGCCATATCATGTACCAGGTACTCTGATTATATAAGATTAAATATTAATGATAATTAAAATAAAACTATTTAAATATTTGTTAAATTGTTGAAAATATATTTAATAATATTTATGTATTAAATATAATATAAAAAATTTATAATTAAAATTTTACATGCTTCTGTATAATTAAATTGTATTAAATTATGATTTTGTATAATCTAATTAAATTTGTAATTATTTAAATATCAAGAGCAGCTTGTTTTTATTACATAAATATACAAATTTGTTTTTAGTTTGTTCCTAAACATGTAAGATAAATTTAACTGAATGATTTACTTAACTAATGGAATACAAATAAATTCAACTACTCAAAACTGGAAATAAATTAATAAACACTGCACAAATAACCAATATCCAACAAGAAAAAATTACAAGAAAGTAAACGTTTTCACCTGTGTTTAACGGACATTGTGATCATTAAACATAGTTGAAAACAAATAGAATACAAATTCAAATAACATTTTAATTTTCTCGAATTTTGTTATTTAAATTCGTTCTGTTAGTCAAATATTTTATTGTAAGCTAAAGATGTTTCTCAAAAAGTCAAAACTGTTGTCTATTAAAAAAATTAATTACTAAATTATAAAGTCAAACAAATTGTGAATATTTTGTACTACTAGAAGTATATTTTATACTAAATTTAATCTAATAGTTTTTTTAAATATAAGCAATATTTTAGTATACATAATTCAAAAAGCTAAGTTCTTTTATAATCATTGTGTTAATTTTGTATTTAAAATATTATTGATTTATTGATTGTATAAAACAAATAAATATAGTTGTACATTTTACTTTTAAACAATAGCTGATTTTACTCTTTTTTAGAAGAAATATATAGTATAGTATTGTTTTACACAGAGGTTGCATGTCAGCAGATACCATGTAAAGCAAAATTAAGCATAAATTTATGCTCTACCCTAAGTAATCACAGATGGTTGCTTAGCCATTTATATAATTATTTACAGTTAATAGAAAACAATTAAAATGTGTTTAAAACATTTTACTTATTTTTTACTATAATGAATAGCATTTATTTCAATGTTATTAAATATTTAGAGCAAAAGTTTACTATACAATATTGAGTACACTAGAAAAAGATACATGCAAACTAGGATATTCACCACAGTGAGTGGCATTTCAGTAATTCTTCATGTTGGGAATGTCAGATGCTGGAGAAACATAGTTTGCTGAGTTAGGTTCAGTGATACCCAAGAGCAGGTTAATCAACCATTAGCCAGTTGTGAAAACAAACATGAATCTGCATACATAAATCTCATGTAAAACAAGAACCAACTATACTATAAAATGAAAATTTAAACTCATATTGTCATTTGGTGATAAAATAAAAAATGTAAATTCACAAACATACATTAATAAATAAAAATAATACCATTTTATTATAAAAGTTATGCATGACTGAAAATTTACATATTAATATTTCTATATTTTTTAATTTAATAAATACAAGTTATATTCAAAATATGTAAATTTTTGACAGGAATATTATTTAAATTCTCACAATACTTAATTATAACATTTATTCTTATTACAGTTTTTTTAAAACTTAAGTTTTATAAGGAAAGAATACAGTGTTAAATCACTTTTAATATAATGAAGAAATTTTAGAATTGAAATCATTTTAGTACTATTTCTTTGCAACAGATAAATTATATTTATTTTCATATATGTGATGATTTTCTTACAAATTATTTTGTATATTTTAATAAATGACAAATTTCAAAATAAACTAGAAATGCAATGTCCAAATTTTAGTAAATATTAAAAAATTTTTACTAAAATTAATTGTCATAGTTATCAAAGGGATTTTTTGAATAACTTCAGAAAAATGATATAATATTTTTGCTTGTAATATTATGAAAATTATTTACAATTATTTGTTTACAATATAATGAATTTAATTGCTTGAAAGATTTTTAGATTATTTTGGCATATTTGAGAACAAATTGCTTAAATATCAAAATATTGTTTGAGAAAAATAATTTGAGGAAAAATTATAAATTTCAATCTGCATTATTTATAAGAAAAACTTAATTTCAAAATATTAATTAGAACTGTTCTAGTTACAATTATTTTTAAGATAAATTTCCTTTAAATAATAATTAACATCATTAGTTTAATGTCAGATTTATATAAATGTCATGAATAAATTTTAACATATTGAAAATGTTTAATTATCATACATTATTAAAATCAATAATCAAGATATAAGTACTGATATTTTTCTTATTGAAATAAATATAAAAGTTTTTTGAATACATTTTCTTCACTTTTATTTTTAGAAAATCAACATTCTTTAATGTTTTAACTGCCAGTCAAGTTGCTGCTGAGAATTTTCCATTCTGCACCATTGATCCTAATGAAAATAAGTATTTAATAAATTTAATAATTTTATATATTTAGAAAATACTTTTTCAGATTATAATACTGTAAATTATGTATTCAAAAACTCACTATTTATGAGTTTAATAAACTAACATAGTTTAAATAATAAATATTATTTTAAAAATACATTGCTATTCAAAATGAAAAATTGACTTAAAGGTACTTAAATTTCAAGAAATCTTACAAATTTAAATAATTGAAAGCATTTGATTATTGTTTTAGATACGTCGAGTACCTGTTCCGGATGAAAGATTTGATTACCTTTGTGAATATTTTCAACCTGCAAGGTAAACTTAAATATTTTAAATAAATTTTGTAAATATGTAATATAATTAAAATTATTTAAAGCTGATAACTTTAAAGTTGGATAATAAGGAAAACAGTTTAAAAAATTGTATAAAAAATTGAAATATACAGGTATCCCTTGATTAACACGGTTAATTAATCTACCATGTATACAAAAATCATGTTAATCAAATATGGTATCTATGTTAAGTAAAGACAGCTGGTAAAACTGCATTAATTAAAACTTCTGTTGCATATATAAAAAGGATTCCTGCAATTAATTTTGCACTTTAATCAAATCCAGTGTTAAGCGAGGGAAATCTGTAGTATATATTTTTTTATCTTTTTATATTACAACCTTATATTGAAAAGATACTCTTTTCATGTTAAAAATGAGAACAAAATTATAACATATATTGCTCTGTAACAAATATAATTTCTTGATTTTATTTTATATAAAAGAATTCTCAAGGATTTTGAAATCAGAAAATGCAAATTAATATATATTAGTTTTTAATTTTGTACTTAGATAATAAATATTAAGGTTTTCTTTTTAACATATTTTCTAAAATTTCATTTAGAATTTTCAGACAGAATATTTTATTTTTGTATGATTTATGGAGAAATTTCAAAGTTGATTATGTTATTGTTATAATTATGACATGAGAAAATTATACAAATTTTTTGTTACATTATTTTTATTGAAATATGTTTATATTATATATATATATATATATACACACAGCATACTTTTGCCTGGAATGTTATAATTTCTCTTACAATCATTATTAAAGTTTTACATTTGATCTTATGATTAATGTACTATAAATTATACATGATTTATGTTTGTGTATTTTCTAAAATTCTTTAGAACAAATATTAATGATGTACTGTGGTATTAGAAGTTTTAATCTTAAAAAAAAAAGGATATAAAAATTAATTCTGTGACATCTAACTTTTGTGAAATATTTTAATTAATTTATTTAACACATTTAAATAAAATTCCAGTTTAATAGCTGATAAGGAAATGAGAGCAATGTCATCCAATGCCAATTAATACCTTTGATTTATATACACTTTTTGAATTTAATTTTAATTAATTATCTTCTCATCATTCATATAGTGTGTGAGATATTTATTAGCCGGATTTTCCTTTCTGATAAATTTCCTTCAAGCAACTCAACATCAAAATTTGATTGATTCCCATATTGATAAACATTTCATGATCTACAAAAATTTAATTGCTTTTTTAAAGAAAGAGTAATAATTAATTTTATGGATATTAAGTAAAAAATAATATCCGAGTTTAATTTTCATTAAGTTTTTTATGGTCTAGTTGCAAAAGTATTTAATTAACTGTATAAATGCTATATTAAACTATTTTATTTTAATTAATCTAAAGAATTGCAAAATGTCTATTTTGAATAAATTTTAACTTCTAAATATACAAATATTTAAAAATTAAAATACATATATACAGAAAGTAACAGAAATTAAAGTATAATTCTAAAACAAGAATTTAAATATTCTTGAATTCTTATCTTATATTAGAAGTTTAAGTTGTTTTATCTGAATTTATTGTATTTAATAAATTTAATTAAGTATATTGATATACACAAATGTGCTTTTAGTCAAAATGTTTTGTATTTTACATAGTATTTTTTTGAGAAAAGGGAATTTATTATAATCTATTTTGTACATAACTATATCATCCTTTAAATAAATTAATTATCTATAGTTTAAGAGAAGAAACTGGTTTATGAATTTTAAAATTGTTTTTAGTAATTTTATTTCTTAAGTTTACTATACATTAAATGTCAAAATAAATACAAAATTATACAGTATCCTGTTGGATAAGGGGCACAATTAGGAAACTATTTTGGGGTGTGGTTGTTATGCAAAGGGAAATGAAGCATTTAGACAGATGTATGGTTTGCGACCCAAGGGTCACATCGAATCTGTCACAAAATATTTTAGGAATAAGTTACGGATGATTTAAAATATTTAAAAATAATTTATTTGGATAAGATGGATTAATTCTATATTAATAGTAATAAAATAAAAAAAGGAACTGTTGTAATTATAATTTTTTTTTTTATAACTCATTGCCACTTTCTTAAGTGGCTCATTCTGACATATCATGCATCTGCTACATTGTACTAGCTAGCTAGTTTGGGTGGTCCAACATCATATTTGCTTCACTTTTTTACCTCTGTAATTATGTGAAGAAAATTGATATGTAATGGTAACTTTAAAAAGGCAATTCTGCATCTTCCAACTGGAGTTTTCCCCCTCTTAATCTTAGCTTTCTTAGTCTTAAGATTGCTTTAAGAAAATTGCCAAGTGGATATAATATAGGACAAACACAATATTTTAGATTCTCAGTTTTATAATTTTTGTTGATTTTGAATTATTTTCATTTCCTTATTAAAACAAAACAATTTAATAGAAAGTTTTTAATAGAAATTAGAATTAGAATTTCAAGTTAACTTTGATTATTCAATATGCTATTGCAGTGTTTGAATATATGTAAATATTTAAGCAATAAACTTTTATGCTTTATTTACATAGTATTTTAGGGAGATTAATCTTTTTTTTAAGAAATACTGATTTAAAGTGGTGGCACAACAAGTACAACAACCCCTCCTTAATTATGTGGAATGGGTGATTTATAAGATTTAATTTTTGTAATTTAGAAAAGATTTTGTTATTCTGCTACAACATGTTTTTCGATCAACCTATTATTACCCAGTCACTTCATAGGGTCAGCAGTTCTTAATGGCCACGACCCTACCATGATGCATCTGTACTGGGGGGGCAGCTTCTTAAGGGCCGCAAATTCTCCAAAGATTAGTATCGCTCCCGTGAAGGGCTCTTCTATTAGTAGGGATATTATATATTGGCTGAGATCATAGTATATTTTATTCCTAATTTATACAAACACTCTAATGATGTGCTTATTTAATTACGTTTAATTAATTATAATCAAAATATAATTAAATAAATGATAGAATGACGTGATCATTCAATTCATAATTTTTTCTGCCGAATTTAATTTATAGGGATAATATCTGCAATATGAGAGATTAATTACGGAGTTTAAAATAGAGAATTGCGTTGACGGCCATCTGATAAGTGTATTTTAACGAATTATTTAATTTTTAAACCTCCGAATTTTTTAGGATTTTGAAAATCGATGGAATGTAATAACTGTTAGAATTATGTCTTGTTTGAAGATGAATTTAATTTCACTTTTATTCTCTCGCTATTTAATAAAGAAGAAAAAAAAGCAATTAAAATAGAGACAACTTAAGACGTAATTGGAGTATTAAAATAACGTAATCAATAAGAGAATTATCTTATTTCAACTCCAATACATTGCTGACTAATATTAAGTAGAATCCCATCTGTGTCGAGTATTTCAGGAGCAGCGAGTGCATTAGCCAGGCACTTTCAATCAACAAGGGGCGAGCATCTAATGGATAAAGTGGGTTGGGCTGACCACTGTCTAATACTAGCATACGTCGTAGTTGTTGGGTGGTAGGAAGTGATAAGGGGTTGGCATACAGCATGCCAGACAGCTCTCTCCCCCGCGCATCCCCTTCTGTTTTCTAACTATATAGTGCACTCACTCTAATTATAACGATTCATCTATCCTCTGGTACATGGGAGGTCCAGATATAAGCTAAACACTCATGTAAATATACGAGAACCCATCCCGACAGGGATTTTTTTAATAGATAAAAGGCTCGGTATCTCACCTGATTTGCGTCGTCGGGTGTGGTGACCGAGTGTCTGTCACTAGTTTGTCCGGATTGCCAACTGATGTCATCATTTATGGAGTTAACGACAGCGAGGGGATTGCTGCCGTATGGGCGTGGTTCTCGACATCAAAGATACTGATTGGACAGTCACTGGGGAGTCATTACCACTAAGTTGACCTTCTGCGACACGGTGTCGGGTTATTTGGTATCTTTGTAGGTTTTTTTGTTATACACGCTAAAGAGAGACATTTTGATTTGATTAACGACAACTTCTATTATGGCAGACGACTTCTCCGTTCAGTTCCAGGTGAAGTCTTAGGTTGACGCTGCGATGTTCATCTATGGAATGTACAATTAATCGCACACGGAGTTTGCATACTGTGATAAGTGTGCGGGCGAAAAGGGAGAGGGATGCGAGAATCATTAATCATACGACAGCCCTAGGCAGTGGCTGTCACGACGGACAAGTAGTCAGATATAAGAACGACTTCCTACACTTATGCAGCTTGTCATAGATGGTTTGCACCCGTTACACTCGACTGAAATAGAATAATTATCCAAGATAGTTTTTGGCAATTGTTGAACCAAGTTGCTCTTTCTTCCTTACTTTTATTTAAATATATAGGCCTATATAAAAAAATTCTAAACTTTCGGATATCATAAAATTAAATAGACTATATTTGACGGGTAGTAAGAGATTAATCATAGATAAAGAAATATCTGTTTTGAGTTGTTTTATCTCTGAAACTAAATTAATAAATTGAAAAATATGGTAGCCCTATAATTTTAATACAGAAATTAATCAAAAGTCTCATTCGAGCGGTTTCGACCATCGTTTACGGTTTCTTCTGTAGAACACATTATAAAAAATATAAAAATAAAAAAGGCATACTTAGTTTTGTGCTGTACAGGACTCGATTTTTATCTACCTGGTCTGCCTTTCTCCTCCCCCTTCGCTCATGATAAATGATTGCCACGTAATTTCACCTCAAGATAATTATTGTGAGATCAAAATAATGGCTTTCCCTGAAGCCGAGACGTAATTTTCACACATCCCCCTATGTACTGCCATGTCAGGAATTTGATCCTGTCCAGCGATAAGAGGTGGCTGATTGCTCGTCGTTTATCTGGACAGCGGATCGCGGTTTTGCCTACTAGATTAAACACACCTGGAACGAGTCGGAGAACAGGAAAGATTAGCATGCACTTTTGCAACATCTTTCCAGGTGTTAATGGACAATTCGGCATAGTTCCACAAGTCATGTTATATCGATGCTATTCGACTTCTTATTGAAATCCATCTCGTTGAGCATTTGAGAATGATTAAGGAACCCCACCCCTGTCGCTTAGAATGTTTGGGCACGGCCACCTGATGGTTCTGACATCATCATTCAAACGTTGCCCGATACCTCGTCCCATAAATCATACGGCAACGTTGTCTTATCTCTCACCTTCTATTACTGTAATTTGGGACTTAAAATCCTCGTGGCCTGAGCCCCCTCCCCTCCCAAAACCTCCTCCAGTGATCAAGATGAATTAACGGCCCGTTTAACTCCCTCCACCGAGATAATGGTAATCATCATGAGACCTACAAGACGTGACCCACCATTGGTACTAAATGTGTAAATATAGAATTTTATATCCACTTTTATCCACAATTTTCACACCTAAGGGCATTTCCACAACCTTTCGTTTCGTAGCTTCTGAAAGAAGCTGTTGTACTTAAGCCTCGGAATAATGTGGAGCTGCTAGGATTGTACGACCAGACAGACATCTGGCCTTTTTTAATTGAACTTATTGCCTTTCTCATCTTAACTTCACACACCTGGTGGACAGGTGTTAGGTTACGAGATATAACGGCAAAATGCTACAGTCGCAAGATTTTATTATTAAAATCGGTTCGGACTGAGGTACACTTATCGATATGCCATCTTTTTCTTAAGATGGGGCACGCCGCCAAATCACTGCTAGCTAGAAGAGGGACATAATTAAGGGTGGTGCTGGCTGGAAGGTATCTGTGCATCAGGGCACTCCTCCCACATTGAATTGATGTGGTAGTTGTCATGTTTTTACGCTGCCATCTGTCATGGTCCCTGTAAAATAAAGTGACGGGGAGGTGATGCTCTAGACAGGAGGTGGGACACCTGACAACTCCGTGACGTCATGCCGACTTCTACTCTAGTTTGATACAAGGTCAAGGTCATGCAACATTGTCATTCTACAACTTAGATCTTTGCTATCTTTCACAGTAATTCAGTCGTCTTTTAGTCACACTATATTTCCGCATTCTATAGTCACACTATATTTCCGCATTCTAAAAGAAAGGTTTTGAAATTTTTCTTTTCCTTTACTCCGTTAGTAATGCACATTTCTGTTTTTCTTTTCTATGTTGTAGCAAAGTTCCAGCCTTTCTTAACGTAGTGGATATTGCTGGATTAGTAAAAGGAGCAAGTGAAGGCCAAGGGCTGGGCAACGCTTTCTTGTCACACATCAAAGCTTGTGATGCTATTTTCCACATGTGCCGTAAGTTTATTTATTATACTTTAATTAATAAATCATAACTTTTGTATGTAAATAAACTGCTAAGTTTTTGTAGTTTCAGATTTTATCATTAGATTCTCGTCAAAATTTTATTTGAAAAATATTAATCTATGTTTTAACAGTTACAGGACAGTACAAATAAAGCTAGTTTAGAAAGATATTTTGTTTTAAATCAGCCATTTATTGGTAAAGTGAATTATGAACCTGTTGATAAAGAATTTGTTAAAAGTGTTGTAAGACACTCTTCTAGCTAAAAATATTTATTGGTGGATCCAATTTGTGACAGTTTGTCAAAAGAATTCATTTATTCTGAAACTTATACATTTGGAAGACATTGACAATACTAGAACAAATATTGTGCCTGGATGGTCTTTCTCTGCCATAAGTCATTCCGCCTACCTCTCCATTAATCAAACTTAGATTTTCCAGTAACCACCCACCTTTGGCTGGATAGAGAGAAGACATTAATCTCTCGGAGTCCGAAAAGTTGTGGAATAATACTTTGAAGCAGAAACTGTTCCTCTGGCACAAATATAGATTCGAGCAGGGGTCAATTAGCGACCGAATCCTGGCATAGAAAAGGTTTAAGGTATGGGAAGCTGGACAGTTGGTGAGCCCGAACCTATCAGCTAACTGGGCGTGCCATTCCATCCTCATCCTTTCCTGTTGATTGGACGATTACAGAGTAGAGGCCGGGTAGATCCCTCGATATTGCTCCCGAGGGGCGGAGTATCGCGTGAGTGCGTGTTTGTTGTGTAGAATGTTATGATTCACACGTCAGAAATTCTCTCTGCGTTAATTAGTTTCTACAGCCGTAATCTGGACGCTGCAGATGTAAAGTCTACGCAGACGCAGTACCGATATTGAATTGAAGGTTCTTTTTCCAACGGCCACTGTATGTGTCATATGGATTCCACGTGCAACACACACACACATACACACACACACACACACACAGACACACACACACTGCCCACCTCTACACGAATGATTAAACGGACGCCTCGGGCCTCTATCATCTATCTTAGCAGAGTTCTGCTGTCAACTGGAGATTACAGGGTACGCTGCGTCCGCCATCTCTACGTTCTCCTTTAATTGCCGCTAACGTTTACGGGACCAGACTCACGCGAAATTTTCGCCCTGCTCTCTCCCCACATAGAGTTTGGATTTTGTTTACCCTGACGGGGATCCAGGGCCCTGCGGATACGAACCATGGACCCGCATCAAATTACAGGGTTGTTGGGTTGGATGGGCGGATCTCCCAGGTTCCGTCCTTTCTATCCATTACTTGCGGAATATAATCCGTGCGGAAGTAAAGAACTTCCTTCCCACGGTTCTGTCAACAGGAAATTGCCATAACAATAGACAGATCAATGTTTTTGTCCACTCTTCCTGTAAGAAGTGGCAGTATTCGTCGAAGCCCAAATTATATTGGTCGAATGGGTTATCAATTCGTAAAGAAACAACAAGAAATAAATAAAATAGAAGCAATGCCTATTACTGAATAGACAGAGCCAAACTTGACAAGTCGGTAATATCGTAACGGGGGTGGATCGCCTGACATCGGGTGACACCCCGGGGGAGTTTGGGAAAGCGTCCCGTCTCTATCTCCGACCTAGCCTCTGTTCCTCTAATTGTATGTAATGACATAATGAAAAGGTAAGTGGATTTCTACCGCTCTCTCATGAGTTGCACTCCTGAAAAGTTGTTCGATATGTTTGTCTTTTTCCCACTAGACAGATCGAAAACATTTTTGTTTTCTAATCACTTGGTTACAGATTTTGAAGCAAGAGTAATGATTCTTTCTTATTCGTAAAATACAATGAAATGGATAACTTGTTTTATTAAAAATGTCCGAATGAGTTTCTCTAATTTTAGTGTAGAGACCTTTTTAAAGCTGAAAACTAAACGCTTCGCCTCTATTCGAATTCATACTATATTTTAATTATTAAGGAAATGAGTGGATATTAAATAATTAAGAAAAAAACTTTTATTAATTAGAGATGAAATTATAATTTCAAATAAATATATAAGCTCAATTCTTATTAACAAGAAACTCAGTTTATTGGGAAAATGGTGTTTAGTTTTAACAAAAACGAAAGGTTTTCTCGAAAACGAGATATCCTGCCGTGTCTTGATATTTCGTGATCGTAATCAATCAGTTTATTTTTAAATTAACAATCTTTGAAATGCACAAATACACTTATGTTATGATTTATATAAATAGACAAATTATTTTGAAAATCCCTTAAATTATCAGAAAAACTGTTTCTAAACATTCTTAAAGTATTATGATTTTAATATATTGAATGGGATAAAAAAAAATTTGAAGATTAAAATTTATAAATTGCATATACTATTTGACTTCTGTTTATTTAAACTAGTATTTCTGCTTCTTTTATTTGTATATGAAGAAAAACTTACGAAAGGTTAATTTAATAAATCTAATTATTTAGTTAGATTTATTAAATTAAAACAAATGTTTTCACCAAACTTTATGTCAAATTTAAGTTTAATCCACGCAGATTGGACGAATCGTTGGACAATTTGAACGTTATATTGTTTTCAGTTTTGACATTGGATAATGTTACATTATCAGAAGATTAAAACAAATTTGTATTAAATTTGTTTTGGATACTTAGTAAGGTAGATTATGTTTATCTTTGTTTATTATGGCGAACCTGGCCTGACCCAAGATCCATTTATTTCAGCAATAAATGAGAATATAATTTCTGTCGTTATAATGTCAACTCTATTCTTTTTGTCACTACATATCTATGCTTTCTACCCCACGTTTTTCCGCGTTTAATCTTGGATGATTTATTTCTATTTCTTGAACAAACTTCTAGAAAACAAAAATCTGTTCAAGAGATGCGTTAATCGAACAACTTTTTATTTATTCGCATTATCGCTTACGCTTAACAACGATTTCTGTCTACTAAATATTGTGCATTTGCAGCATTGAAAGTGATTTGTCATCGTTTATCATATGAACCCGACGATAGTTCTTCCCATATACAGTATATCTTGTGTAAATAGAAATAGTTAACCACTCAATTCATCTTGGTCGGAAGCATAATGGCATATGACGCCGGGGCCTAAGGGTTAGACGTGAGGTGTCCGTCCTGGCAATTCCATAATACTTTGAAGCAGAAACTGTTCCTCTGGCACAAATATAGATTCGAGCAGGGGTCAATTAGCGACCGAATCCTGGCATAGAAAAGGTTTAAGGTATGGGAAGCTGGACAGTTGGTGAGCCCGAACCTATCAGCTAACTGGGCGTGCCATTCCATCCTCATCCTTTCCTGTTGATTGGACGATTACAGAGTAGAGGCCGGGTAGATCCCTCGATATTGCTCCCGAGGGGCGGAGTATCGCGTGAGTGCGTGTTTGTTGTGTAGAATGTTATGATTCACACGTCAGAAATTCTCTCTGCGTTAATTAGTTTCTACAGCCGTAATCTGGACGCTGCAGATGTAAAGTCTACGCAGACGCAGTACCGATATTGAATTGAAGGTTCTTTTTCCAACGGCCACTGTATGTGTCATATGGATTCCACGTGCAACACACACACACATACACACACACACACACACACAGACACACACACACTGCCCACCTCTACACGAATGATTAAACGGACGCCTCGGGCCTCTATCATCTATCTTAGCAGAGTTCTGCTGTCAACTGGAGATTACAGGGTACGCTGCGTCCGCCATCTCTACGTTCTCCTTTAATTGCCGCTAACGTTTACGGGACCAGACTCACGCGAAATTTTCGCCCTGCTCTCTCCCCACATAGAGTTTGGATTTTGTTTACCCTGACGGGGATCCAGGGCCCTGCGGATACGAACCATGGACCCGCATCAAATTACAGGGTTGTTGGGTTGGATGGGCGGATCTCCCAGGTTCCGTCCTTTCTATCCATTACTTGCGGAATATAATCCGTGCGGAAGTAAAGAACTTCCTTCCCACGGTTCTGTCAACAGGAAATTGCCATAACAATAGACAGATCAATGTTTTTGTCCACTCTTCCTGTAAGAAGTGGCAGTATTCGTCGAAGCCCAAATTATATTGGTCGAATGGGTTATCAATTCGTAAAGAAACAACAAGAAATAAATAAAATAGAAGCAATGCCTATTACTGAATAGACAGAGCCAAACTTGACAAGTCGGTAATATCGTAACGGGGGTGGATCGCCTGACATCGGGTGACACCCCGGGGGAGTTTGGGAAAGCGTCCCGTCTCTATCTCCGACCTAGCCTCTGTTCCTCTAATTGTATGTAATGACATAATGAAAAGGTAAGTGGATTTCTACCGCTCTCTCATGAGTTGCACTCCTGAAAAGTTGTTCGATATGTTTGTCTTTTTCCCACTAGACAGATCGAAAACATTTTTGTTTTCTAATCACTTGGTTACAGATTTTGAAGCAAGAGTAATGATTCTTTCTTATTCGTAAAATACAATGAAATGGATAACTTGTTTTATTAAAAATGTCCGAATGAGTTTCTCTAATTTTAGTGTAGAGACCTTTTTAAAGCTGAAAACTAAACGCTTCGCCTCTATTCGAATTCATACTATATTTTAATTATTAAGGAAATGAGTGGATATTAAATAATTAAGAAAAAAACTTTTATTAATTAGAGATGAAATTATAATTTCAAATAAATATATAAGCTCAATTCTTATTAACAAGAAACTCAGTTTATTGGGAAAATGGTGTTTAGTTTTAACAAAAACGAAAGGTTTTCTCGAAAACGAGATATCCTGCCGTGTCTTGATATTTCGTGATCGTAATCAATCAGTTTATTTTTAAATTAACAATCTTTGAAATGCACAAATACACTTATGTTATGATTTATATAAATAGACAAATTATTTTGAAAATCCCTTAAATTATCAGAAAAACTGTTTCTAAACATTCTTAAAGTATTATGATTTTAATATATTGAATGGGATAAAAAAAAATTTGAAGATTAAAATTTATAAATTGCATATACTATTTGACTTCTGTTTATTTAAACTAGTATTTCTGCTTCTTTTATTTGTATATGAAGAAAAACTTACGAAAGGTTAATTTAATAAATCTAATTATTTAGTTAGATTTATTAAATTAAAACAAATGTTTTCACCAAACTTTATGTCAAATTTAAGTTTAATCCACGCAGATTGGACGAATCGTTGGACAATTTGAACGTTATATTGTTTTCAGTTTTGACATTGGATAATGTTACATTATCAGAAGATTAAAACAAATTTGTATTAAATTTGTTTTGGATACTTAGTAAGGTAGATTATGTTTATCTTTGTTTATTATGGCGAACCTGGCCTGATCCAAGATCCATTCATTTCAGCAATAAATGAGAATATAATTTCTGTCGTTATAATGTCAACTCTATTCTTTTTGTCACTACATATCTATGCTTTCTACCCCACGTTTTTCCGCGTTTAATCTTGGATGATTTATTTCTATTTCTTGAACAAACTTCTAGAAAACAAAAATCTGTTCAAGAGGTCAAAATTTTATTTGAAAAATATTAATCTATGTTTTAACAGTTACAGGACAGTACAAATAAAGCTAGTTTAGAAAGATATTTTGTTTTAAATCAGCCATTTATTGGTAAAGTGAATTATGAACCTGTTGATAAAGAATTTGTTAAAAGTGTTGTAAGACACTCTTCTAGCTAAAAATATTTATTGATGGATCCAATTTGTGACAGTTTGTCAAAAGAATTCATTTATTCTGAAACTTATACATTTGGAAGACATTGACAATACTAGAACAAATATTGTGCCTGGATGGTCTTTCTCTGCCATAAGTCATTCCGCCTACCTCTCCATTAATCAAACTTAGATTTTCCAGTAACCACCCACCTTTGGCTGGATAGAGAGAAGACATTAATCTCTCGGAGTCCGAAAAGTTGTGGAATAATACTTTGAAGCAGAAACTGTTCCTCTGGCACAAATATAGATTCGAGCAGGGGTCAATTAGCGACCGAATCCTGGCATAGAAAAGGTTTAAGGTATGGGAAGCTGGACAGTTGGTGGGCCCGAACCTATCAGCTAACTGGGCGTGCCATTCCATCCTCATCCTTTCCTGTTGATTGGACGATTACAGAGTAGAGGCCGGGTAGATCCCTCGATATTGCTCCCGAGGGGCGGAGTATCGCGTGAGTGCGTGTTTGTTGTGTAGAATGTTATGATTCACACGTCAGAAATTCTCTCTGCGTTAATTAGTTTCTACAGCCGTAATCTGGACGCTGCAGATGTAAAGTCTACGCAGACGCAGTACCGATATTGAATTGAAGGTTCTTTTTCCAACGGCCACTGTATGTGTCATATGGATTCCACGTGCAACACACACACACATACACACACACACACACACACAGACACACACACACTGCCCACCTCTACACGAATGATTAAACGGACGCCTCGGGCCTCTATCATCTATCTTAGCAGAGTTCTGCTGTCAACTGGAGATTACAGGGTACGCTGCGTCCGCCATCTCTACGTTCTCCTTTAATTGCCGCTAACGTTTACGGGACCAGACTCACGCGAAATTTTCGCCCTGCTCTCTCCCCACATAGAGTTTGGATTTTGTTTACCCTGACGGGGATCCAGGGCCCTGCGGATACGAACCATGGACCCGCATCAAATTACAGGGTTGTTGGGTTGGATGGGCGGATCTCCCAGGTTCCGTCCTTTCTATCCATTACTTGCGGAATATAATCCGTGCGGAAGTAAAGAACTTCCTTCCCACGGTTCTGTCAACAGGAAATTGCCATAACAATAGACAGATCAATGTTTTTGTCCACTCTTCCTGTAAGAAGTGGCAGTATTCGTCGAAGCCCAAATTATATTGGTCGAATGGGTTATCAATTCGTAAAGAAACAACAAGAAATAAATAAAATAGAAGCAATGCCTATTACTGAATAGACAGAGCCAAACTTGACAAGTCGGTAATATCGTAACGGGGGTGGATCGCCTGACATCGGGTGACACCCCGGGGGAGTTTGGGAAAGCGTCCCGTCTCTATCTCCGACCTAGCCTCTGTTCCTCTAATTGTATGTAATGACATAATGAAAAGGTAAGTGGATTTCTACCGCTCTCTCATGAGTTGCACTCCTGAAAAGTTGTTCGATATGTTTGTCTTTTTCCCACTAGACAGATCGAAAACATTTTTGTTTTCTAATCACTTGGTTACAGATTTTGAAGCAAGAGTAATGATTCTTTCTTATTCGTAAAATACAATGAAATGGATAACTTGTTTTATTAAAAATGTCCGAATGAGTTTCTCTAATTTTAGTGTAGAGACCTTTTTAAAGCTGAAAACTAAACGCTTCGCCTCTATTCGAATTCATACTATATTTTAATTATTAAGGAAATGAGTGGATATTAAATAATTAAGAAAAAAACTTTTATTAATTAGAGATGAAATTATAATTTCAAATAAATATATAAGCTCAATTCTTATTAACAAGAAACTCAGTTTATTGGGAAAATGGTGTTTAGTTTTAACAAAAACGAAAGGTTTTCTCGAAAACGAGATATCCTGCCGTGTCTTGATATTTCGTGATCGTAATCAATCAGTTTATTTTTAAAATAACAATCTTTGAAATGCACAAATACACTTATGTTATGATTTATATAAATAGACAAATTATTTTGAAAATCCCTTAAATTATCAGAAAAACTGTTTCTAAACATTCTTAAAGTATTATGATTTTAATATATTGAATGGGATAAAAAAAAATTTGAAGATTAAAATTTATAAATTGCATATACTATTTGACTTCTGTTTATTTAAACTAGTATTTCTGCTTCTTTTATTTGTATATGAAGAAAAACTTACGAAAGGTTAATTTAATAAATCTAATTATTTAGTTAGATTTATTAAATTAAAACAAATGTTTTCACCAAACTTTATGTCAAATTTAAGTTTAATCCACGCAGATTGGACGAATCGTTGGACAATTTGAACGTTATATTGTTTTCAGTTTTGACATTGGATAATGTTACATTATCAGAAGATTAAAACAAATTTGTATTAAATTTGTTTTGGATACTTAGTAAGGTAGATTATGTTTATCTTTGTTTATTATGGCGAACCTGGCCTGACCCAAGATCCATTTATTTCAGCAATAAATGAGAATATAATTTCTGTCGTTATAATGTCAACTCTATTCTTTTTGTCACTACATATCTATGCTTTCTACCCCACGTTTTTCCGCGTTTAATCTTGGATGATTTATTTCTATTTCTTGAACAAACTTCTAGAAAACAAAAATCTGTTCAAGAGATGCGTTAATCGAACAACTTTTTATTTATTCGCATTATCGCTTACGCTTAACAACGATTTCTGTCTACTAAATATTGTGCATTTGCAGCATTGAAAGTGATTTGTCATCGTTTATCATATGAACCCGACGATAGTTCTTCCCATATACAGTATATCTTGTGTAAATAGAAATAGTTAACCACTCAATTCATCTTGGTCGGAAGCATAATGGCATATGACGCCGGGGCCTAAGGGTTAGACGTGAGGTGTCCGTCCTGGCAATTCCATCTATCCATTTGATAACTTCCCGATCGCACTCAACAACATACACTTTTCTGCGGAACGTTGTAACTCTCTCTCTCTCTCTCGTTAGAATGTATCGTTATCGGATTTTTTATCGGGCTAACCCCGTGACGAGTCGTGAGTGGAGTTTATACGTAGTGCCTTTCCTCTCGGACGGACACGTGTCGCGTGAGAATGTTGTCGTGCACGTCAACTTGTCAGCGCCTTGTAAATTCTACTAACAAAAACATTCGATTATAACGAAAGTTGCGTGAAAATGTTAAATATACAATGCTCCACCAACATTTTTAATAACTCTCATTAATTAATTTGTCGGTTGAATTTATAATCGCTGTGGCAATGCAGTTGCACGTCGATAGGACGAAACCTTTTATTTCAGTGCATTTGGCAAAAATAAACTGGAATACTCTGTTAATTTTACATACATAAATAAGTATGTAGCTGTGTATACATTTGTAAGTGTGTCAATGCAATTCTTTTCAAACCGTTACATCTCATGTTTGCGTTTAATGATCTACGTCAAGTTATAACCGTTTTTACAGTTATCTCTCTTTTCCTTTATTACCACAATACTTACATATACACGATATGTTACAGACTATTCACGATTATCTACTAGTTTAATTATTACGTAATATTTTGTCGTCTTCTGCCATTGGGAATTATTTGAGGAGGGGAGAATTCTTATGAATTGAATTCTTCATATTGAGTTATTAAAATTAAATTTTATTTCATCAGAATATAGAATTTATAAATTAGAATATGCTATAATACATTTCACCTCTATTAATCAAAAATAGCAGCATTTTAAGATTTTTATATTAGTCTAATTACACATAACACAATGCCATACACACTATCAAATTATATCAATAGTAATCTTTTTCTTTTATAAATGAAATAAAATGGCAGTAACTTAAAGAGTTAGTCATTTATTAAAATTTATGGTTAATATTATAAAAAAAAGGTTATTAAAATTGTATTACAATTCGTTTTTTGTGATTGTTAATTTCAAATACAGTATATAAATGTGTATTTTAGGTGTTTTTGAAGACGACAATGTTTCCCACGTGGAAGGAGACGTTAATCCGGTGAGAGACATTAATATTATTAACGAGGAACTTCGCTTAAAAGACGAAGAATATTTAGTGGCTCTAATAGAAAAAATGGAAAGAACGGTATTAAGAGGTGGAGACAAAAAAAGTAAACCTGAATATGTAAGTTTCTGATATTAATAAAAAAAAGAAACTTTGAAAAAATGTAATCTGTAATAATATTTCCCTTCCTTTTATTTGTTATTTTAATGACAGGATATACTATGTAAAATAAGGAATCATGTCGTAGAAGAAAAGAAACACGTACGTTTCGGAGATTGGAACGCAAATGAGGTAGTTCGGAATACTGTATTGCAAATGCTTTCGAGAGCGAATATTTTATAATAAATAATGTAGGGTGTCCAAAAAACTGTATATACACTTTGATTTTTAATAATTCCTATATACATTTTAATAATTTTGTAATTTAGAGTAAATCATACTTACAGTATATAATAGAAGAGAATTGTCAAACAGACTATCATTGCGCGGGCATGACAGTGCATGAACTTTTGTGAATATGTGCTTCCGTAGAAAATTTTCCACGGGGCAAAGTTTGGAGACAAATAATTACATCAATAAATCTTTATTTAATTATTAATTTTTTGTTTTTTTTTTCACAAGTAGACTAGAGAATACAGTATTACATCAATACGCATCTCGTGGTCGAGGGTATAAGGTTACGTATCGCAATCACTTAACTTTATAATTGTTGGAATTTCTTACTCGATCTCAAGAGGGGCAATGCCCCGTTTGTCCCCTCTGCGGACGTCCACGTTTGTGACATAGTTCTGTCTAGAGTGAAATATTTAGAAAAATAATTTCAAAAATCTTTCTTCCTTTCACAAGTGAATTTTGTAAAGATAAGAAAGGAGATGAATAGCATTTATGAAAATGTTTAGGGATTTTATTCAGTATGAATGCGATTCATAATTTTAATGACGATGACATCGAACTAATTGGCAAGTCATATCTGATCGAATAGTTAACGGGTTCTGGTTAGTATTATTATATGAAATTATAATGCAAATTATTAAATAAAAATAAATAAATATAGAACTTATTAAAAATCAAAGAGAGTATACATTTTTTCGGGGATCCAATAGTTATGTAGAAGCCGCTATGCCACTCATTTTTAGGGGAGATGGCTATTTTACCCATTGTTTCACATATCTTGGCCGAGCCCGGTTGGGGTTCTGGAAGTTTTATAAAGTTCGAGAGCCATTTATAGTAACGCTCAGTGACCTTGTAACATATTCGCAAACAATCCGTTCCCTTCATTAAGTAAATACACTGGTCTCTGCTACTGGCATTTTTTACAGCTCGTCCAAGATTCGTGAAACGAGCTGTACTTGAACATTTTAAAAGAAACTTTAATTTGTTTATTTTAGTTTTAGATAAAGGAAAGATATTTTGAAAACTAGTTTTTAAGTCTGTCTGTGTATATTAATTAGTGCTAATCATTTATTAAGCAAAAATGATTTACGGATGCCATTCCCAAAATAAAGCGCGTTATCTGTGTCTAAGTATCTCTTGGAATTTAATTCACGTTTTGTTCTACAATTAAAAACTTTCCTAGAGTTACATATAAATCTTTCTAATATGACGTCAAGACTGTAACCACTAGCGCCACCTGTAACGGCTATGGGAACGATATTTATTAAAGTGTTTGATTATAGTTTGCTAAAATTAAGTTATTCAATTACCGAAATTATTTTGTACGTTGCTAAAACTATACTATTAAATAATATAAAAGAAACCTATTCACTATTAAGTAACAAGCTTTGAATTTTATTATTACTATTATTTAGATTATGCGAATATTTATTGTAATTATACCTTATTGAATCTGTCAAATCTATTATTTTCTACGGGAATTTAAATTTTTAATTTTAGTATAATTAAAGAAGTGAAAATATATGTACTGTACATTTGGTTTTTATCAATATAACATTCCAGTATTCTAAAATTTCACTTATTTCAGAAGTTGTAAGAAGACATATTTGTAACAAATTGCCAGTGATAGATATTAAATGTAGAATTATATCCTGCAAATATGTAGCAAGAAGTATAATGTGTAATTAGGTTAATTTTGTCAGTGAATAAAATAATAATAATATTAATAATATATCTAATGTAATCGTTCTCATATTTTATTTTGTAGATTGAGGTGTTAAACAAGCATTTGCTTCTCACTTCAAAACCTATGATCTATCTCATAAATATGACCGAAAAAGATTATCTCAAGAAAAAAAATAAGTGGTGAGTGATATTTGATATCTTTAAATTAATTCACGGACACTGGTATAAATTAATTTGGTAATATATAGCCCGACGTGCTCGATACAAACGAGATCTCTTACCCGTTAGAAGGTGCATCCAATCCCGGCCGGCTAACAATAAACAACGGCCAGACAATTTCCTCGGCATGATACTCTTAACAGATTACGCTTGTGTTAAATCCAAAGGTGGTTTGGGACGTACTAGACAAGACTGGATAGAACTATTGTCCCTTCCACTATTTAAAGCTAGAACAGCAGTCAGATGATATCAATAAGTATTGGGTTGGACCTGCTAATAACAGGATGGAGAATCTGGGGGTTGAGAAAGATGACTACCCAGAAGAGACTTGTGTCAGCTCTAATAACATACTTTACAATTTCCCACCCCGTGGAAATGTGGCTTGCATCAACTATGAAGCAAAAGTCTGAACAACGAAAATAAAAAAAATTAGGTCAAAGGAGAAGTTACGGCAAAATCGTTCTCTTTGGAGTTGCGTGTAGATGGCCGACACATCATTGGAAGTCTGTCACCACCCGTGGGCAGGAGTTGTAATTTTGCATGGATGGCTGCCACTGGGCAATTATTTCGCAGATGTTGATGACAGAAACCGATGTCCATCCAGGAGATGTTCAACACAATGCATTGTTTGCCTAATGCAGGTTTTGTTTACTATACAAATACTTCAAGTTTTTCTTTTCTTTGTTTTAACTTACGACGTAAAAACACGACAGGTTTTCGTCCATATAAAATGATTTGAATGTTTGTCTAGCATATCGCAGTCCATAAATTGCACCCGAGCCTATTTAATTACAGGTTTCGAAGTGACTCGAGGCAAATTTATCTACAGAAATACGGCAATGATAACATATAATGATATATAAATCTTTTTAACTATTAGACTGTTAAAGAATTAGAAAATTAAGTATTTCTGATGCAAATATATTTTTCATTTGGCAACGATTCAAATCAAAAGACATTAAATTGCAAACAATGCATGTAATTGCCCTTCATGTTTTTGACCTAGTCCTCCATTTCAATAGGACATCACAAATTCAATTTTGATCATTCCAGAGAGTTGTTTCGTACGGGTGTGAGGATTATATCACGCAACATATTTGAAGTCATTCTTTGATTGTTTCGAATCTTGGGAGATTTGATTAATTGCAGAGAGCGAAGTCTGTTTTGAACTATTAATGAAATGCAACTTTATTAGTTTTCCACCCTCCTCTCAGAACTGCATGCTTGTAATTCTAAACTCTCCTAGCCAGATAAGGGATTACCAATTAAAAGGGGCAGAGTCCACCTGGGGGCAAGGGATGGGACCAAACCAGCTGCCTCATACCCTCAACCTGTAATCAGATCTCATTTGCTTGTTGTAAAGGATATCCAAAGTGACCAAACCAAATAGGCTAGCAAATGGTACTAGCCTCATTAATCTATATGTACTCACAAATAAATAGAATGTGGAACTTCCTAACTTCTTGTGATAATTTGTTTTCATTCATTTTTTTTAATAATTGAAATTTGTAATTCTTAGGTATTATCACTACTACAATGAAAAAGTATCAGAAATGTGAATAAATTATGTGAATGCATTTCTCTTTTTAAGTTATTTAAATAATTTGTATGAATAAAACAGAATAAGTGGGTTTGTAAATATTTATATATTTTCATAGAAACAAGTTTTATTATTTTCAGGTTAACAAAAATTAAAGCCTGGGTTGATGGCAATGATGCGGGTGCATCCGTAATCCCTTTTAGTGCTGGATTGGAATTACGGCTAACAGAAATGAATAAAGACGAGAAAAAGAGCTTTTTGGAAGAAAACAAAACTCACAGGTATTAAATATCGTATTAAGTTTAATTATTTTGTTAAAATTTGAGCATTTTCTGTTGTTATCGATTGATTAAAAATTCTAGTGAGTTAATTTATTTAATTGTTGATTTATCATATATAGCCAAGGAAAACCTATTTTTCTTCTTTAACCCACATTATGAATGTAATGAAAGATTTCATAACGTTTAATCTAAATAATTCTCATGAATAGTTTAACATATGTTTATTTAATTTGCAAATTTTCTAAGTTTAGCAGTGTAGATTTAGTATGGAAACAAGTTTAGCAAAGCATAAACCCAGACAAAGTGGGTTGTTGTTCGGGAGCAGAATGAATCCTGTCTGTCACCATTTGTCTTGTCCAACAGGACCGGTGTCCCATTATCATCCCAAAGCATCTCCTCACACAGCGCTGATGCAGTAATTTACGTCCCTTGTCAGCCAGTTATTAGGAGGCTCATAGAGGCGATCCTGACACCCCGAAATTAGCACCCTACCCATAGTGATTTGCATAGCGAATCCAGTCGGGGTCTTGTCACATTGAAGGATGTCGGGGAGTACGCCCCCACGCTGTCCGTTTGGGTGGAGACACATTTCCCCACTTAAATAAGACACCGGATGCGGACGATCGGACAGACGGGGAAGATTCGGTACCGAATCCGTACTCCGTCGGAGGGATCGGGTCGTGGAGAGAAATCACGTGACGCGACGCAAACGCTCCCGGACCAGTCTGTCAAGATAAGTGCCGTGATGGATGGAGTCCGTGAGTTTGGACGCCGGTGGAAAAATATTTTCGGCCGCCGTAACACGTGACCCGGCTCCGGCTCCCCTCTCCCGCTCCGGACCCCCGGCAGTAAATCCCCCATCGTGACACCTCGGTAATAGGTTGCAATTAATTGATGGGTTTCACTCCCAGAGCGCACAATACATCACCCACCTGAGATTCGTCCAACCCCGCGCCCCGGACCACGTGGGTGGGGTCAGAGCCTCCTCTCCGTCTGGCGTCTACGAAATCCGATATCCTGGCCCCCCTTCTCCCGGTCGAGAATCCTTACCGGTGCGTATTCCCGAGATGCGGTTTGACTGCAACCCTAATCCTCTTATTGGGATTGGGTCGGGCGCGGTGGTCCGTTGTATTTCCACGCGTGCGGGGGGTGCGTAGGGCGCGGACACCGGCCACCGACTATACAAGACCATCTGTTTGCAGCCGCATTGTGACCAGCCTGGCATTGTCGGGACCCGCACTTGTCGTTTGTTAGTTTGGTGTTAATCCGGATTAAACAGATTGATCAATCTGACCAAGTTAAGCGCATTTGACACGGATGTCATTTTGCCGTTTCGGGGATGACATCTCCATCGGCTCCTCCCTAAAATGTTTGCCGTGGCTTTGTTGCAGCTTACCTATTTTAGAATAAGGCATGTGAAAGCGAAAACAGCATGCTTATTTGTGTTTTTATTTGCAGTATGTTGGACAAGATAATCACAACGGGCTACAAAGCGTTGCATTTGATTTACTTCTTTACCTGTGGCAAAGACGAAGTCAAAGCGTGGACCATACAGGTAGGTAGTGCCATCTATCGATTCTTTTTGTTATCGTTTCTCTTTTATTCTGCCATTCCACCCACCGAGTGTCGAGCGCACACATAATATTGTTCCGGATATCTTCCCCGCCGATAATTTGGCGGGTAACGTCACGGGAAGGGAGGAACCATTTATTTTGCGTCGCTTGTCAACTGCAGTTTGCAAAGACACGGTCCAGGGAACCACCCCTGCCATCCGCACTCTGCTCGTCAACACCTGTCTCGGACGCGGGGGATTTTTTCTCCCCCAACCCCTGCACCATTTAAGGAAGCGACGGCGTCTCTTCCAGGGCCTTTTTTGCACTCGAGCCCTATCCGGCCCGTTTACTGCCCCGCGGCGCCTCCATTTTCCGGAGGTGATGGATGAACTCGCGTTTGACTGCTGTATATACGATGCGCTTGACACCATTATGAATTGTGCCGGGGTCGAGTCTTTGGTCCCCCGCGTCTAATTTTTTGAGAACCAACCACTTTACATAACGTTCCGCCATCTATCGGTCACCATTGTAACGACCGACGGTGGCACAAGTTTCGAATTTATCGTAATTCGTGCGCTTTACTGTTTTAAAATATTAAATTATGAAATAAAATTTAACGCTTTCAGTTATGGATTATTCGTGCAAGTTACTTTTTAATAATCTCGATTCGTTTTCCAACGTGATTGCACATAATTTAAATGAACATGTAAAATCGTATTTAAACTATCACATATGTTAGTTCAGACACGAATCGAGAGATGGCGACATCTGACCGATAGCATTATAGTTTCTAGATTTTACAGCTTTATTTGATTTTATTTTTACACAGTTTATATTTTAAAATGATTATTACTTATGTACGAGTTATTTACCAGATTTGATGTAACAACAAAACAGCATTTTTTAAATATACAATACACGGAGAGAGAAAAAGTTAACAATGGACTAAACATGGCGTCCTGGGTTAGAAAGTGCCTGTTTATACTGTATACGCGTTTCAAATCGTATCATTGTCGCTTCGTCGGAAATTTTAATTTTGATTCTTCTTGCTTTAAACTGCTTTCAGAAAGGAACGAAGGCGCCTCAGGCGGGCGGAAAAATTCACACCGACTTTGAAAAAGGCTTCATTATGGCAGAAGTGATGAAATACGAGGATTTTAAAGAGGAAGGCTCGGAAGCGGCAGTAAAGGTATATTCAGTTTCGTTTGTTGTCGCCAGATGGAAGCACTGTACGTATGTAATGACGGTTACTTTTTTCCCCCGTAGGCAGCGGGAAAATACCGACAGCAAGGACGTAACTACGTGGTGGAAGACGGAGACATCATCCTTTTCAAATTCAATGCCGGAGCTGGCCTACAGTCCAAAAAGAAGTAGACTTGTATAAACTGCAATCTCCTTTTTTCGTACCACGCAGATCACTCACGGAGGCTGCTTTGTTAAATATATTTATGTTTAAAGTTGGAATAAATGACTTGAAATGATTTTCTCTATTATTTTTATTTTGGCATAAATAATTACTATTGCTAATTATCTACGTAATGAATTTGTCTGGTGAAATGAAAAATATGAGATTAAAATTCATTAACATTCTACCGAAAATTTTAATCTCATTTTGTTTTTTTATTCCAAATTATGAAGTATTCTTACTCTTTTCTACATTTTCTCATATACATAAGGAAATAATCGTTTTAAAAAATTGTTAGTTTTATGTTCTATCCGTGCTGCTGCAACGTCACAAATTCAGCTAAACACTTAAATGAAATTTCCATTAAAAATTGCCGAAAAAAAAAAGATTCGGTGGTACAAGCGGTGTAAAAGTTACAAATAGGCATGATTATTTATTAACTAACCGCGTATGAAATGACAAAATATTTTTGGACTATAAATTTTGATCGGATGCAACAAGATCTGATAAAAAACAATACGGTTTTAACTTACGTAGATGATAAACCGATAAACGATAGCGTTGTAGCAAAAAACAGAAAAGAAAACTCCCAACGATATTAGTAACAGTATAGTTATCGCTGTTTGGCATTTAATGGCTCTAGGATGTAAAAAATTATTTTGCGATAAAGATGTAAAAAAAATTAAGCCGATAAGCTAAATTATATTAACTCTGAAAATTACTCTAACCTAGCAAAATATCGAGTTCAATGATTTTCTAAGAACGAAATCAATACGAAAATACCGTATTTAGAGGTATGAATTTTTAGTATGTTTTCTATCTACCATTTTTCGTTGACGAGTGAATTGCATATAAAGAAAATGAAAACGTTGTTTTATTAGAAGGCTCTCCAAATAAGTAAAATTGCATAAAGATTGCAATAGTAGGAACAAAGCGATATTCTATTACGTAAAATATGAGTTATAATTGAACGCTTCGGTAAACTAATATCCAATCCGGTAGGGTAACAAGTTATATAGTCTCTTAGAATAAGAATGGAACCGATGGTAATTAGTCTACCTACGCGAAGAAAAATAGTACAGAGTTTACTACGAAGTAGGGCATTCTGTATATTTGGAAATTGTTATCTTCTCTGAAATTTTCAACGATATTGCGATTAGGAAAGAAAAAAAAAATCATACGACGTCATATTATGAAATGTTTTAATTTTCGAAGTTTTTAGTCTTGAAACAGCTTTATTGCTTGGCTACGATGGCGGAGTGATACACACCCAAGATCTATCGCGTCGTCTCCATTCTTATTCTAGGAAACACTATAGGATATCGCTATCGCCATCTGTTGTTCGTTTGAAAAAACTCGGTGATTTTTAATTAGACAAGTTTTTAATGCAATTAATTTGAAAGGAAATAATGATTTTTGATTGTAAAATAATAATTAATTTTTTTTACAAGCTGGTAATCTTATAATAAATCTGTTCGACTATAAAAATTGAATTTTTAATTACTTTTGTGATTAAATTTGTATTTATATCGTTCGAATTAAACAGAGGTGCTTCGGCGTAAATATAAAATAATTTTAGCAGCAATTAATCAAACCAGTTAATAATTCGATTATATATATTATTTTAAAAATGGCAGATAATTAATTGCGAAAATATACGTTTATGCATATCATTGACAATTAATTATCGCTCTACTTGAATTTTTGCCGGATCACGCAACTCTGCGCCACTATTACCAGAAAAATGTTGAAAGAATGCAATTTAAACGTGGAGTTAAAATTTTGTTTTAAAAATTTTAAATAAATAGCGCCACGATCGAGACGAACATCGATTTGAGCCGCTAGCAGATCGATAATTTTATCAATAAAGAACCCAGTAACTTTCCCGACAAAAGGCACTGCCAATAAAAAGATTGCGGTTTGTGCGTTGAGGATAATATATAACAATTTGAAGTAAATTCTTATTTATTAAATTGTTAGAAAATTGATATAGTTGAGCATCTGTCATGATGAAATAATTGAAAAGTTTGAATTATCTTTTATTATTGTAAAATATAGAAAGAAATTTTACTATTGTTAAGTGCTAATTAGGTATAAAACCAAACGCGATATGTACTAATAATCAATTATACGGGCGGATTTCAGTTGGGCTATAATATGGTTAATTAATTAGTCATATTATAGCCCAAGAAAGGTCCAATACATAAATGTAAATTTTAATTAAGAATAAAATGAATTCTATGGTAGTAGTGCTAGAATTAACACAAGCATAGACAAGTGCTAATATTAGTAAAAGTAAAGTAAATAGAATTTGGAAAAACTGAAAAGCAAAATGGTGTCAGTGAGAATTCGTAGCGCGTCGTTGGTTCTATGTTCTTCGATACGTTTTATACGATTCGAATTAACAACTAAAATCAAAGATTTAAACGAAAATTAAATTTATATTGAGTAATTCTAGTGTTTAATTGACTAAATATGTAATGTATCAATTAAAATGAATGTATGTCTGTGCTGTATGATAAATTTACACGAGTTTTGTATTGATGAGGAAAGTTTTTTAATTAAAATGTTAATGAAAATATTGGAAAAATCAGACAAATATAATAATTTTCATTAGAAAATAAATGTACTGTATTTCTGGATAATAAATAAAAATACCGTAATTTATGTCGAAAGTTTCGATCTGGAGTGTTAAAAATAAAATTTGATGAAATGTTAAGATAAAATATCAAATATATTTTGAATTAAATTAATTAATTATTTATTTAAAAAATCATTGGAAAGACAAATTTATACAAACAAATGTTCTTTGTATTAATGTGTACAGAATTGTTCAATGTAAACATGTTATACAGAAGAATATTTTAAACCATTCGTCGTGGAAAATTCAAAGAAATGTAATAATTGAGGAGTGAAAATATCAAAACTTTTAAATGCTAAAATAATGAATTGAAACATTATATTCTCTTTAAAAACATCCAAACTCTGTGCAGTAGTTAACAAATAATTCAGAAAATAAAAATATGTTTAAGACTGAATAATTAATCCCTTTTACGTACTGAAATGTGTAAAAAGGAACATTTACCGAAATTTAACGCAATTTTTAAACCAAATTAATACAGGAGAAAATTTTTTGAAATTTGCGAAAATTCTAAATGTAAATTTCAACTAAGAACAAGCAATTATTTATTATGACATTTTCAAAATGCCGGGCTGCAATTTTTAATTATATTTTAAATTTATTTAATTTAAAATATGTTCTCCGCCACAAATTAGTAGTGGCTTGCCCCTGTACATCATACTTTTCCGTTAGCAATGGAGTCATGCCAATCATCTATCTAGCACCTTTCTGGGGAAAAGTTTTGAATTAAAATAACGTAACTTCCGGTTTGCATTGGAAGTTCGTATATAGTTAATCGGGCCTCCTAACTTTAATCTTTCTTTAGCTGGTCTTAGCTTTCATCTATCTTACTCTGTTCTCTAGATTAAGAAAAGACAGACGGACGGACGACAGTGAGAATTTATAGATCTACAATTTTTTCAATTCTCAGCCCAATAAAACGAACTTTATCACAGTACTAGAATTAACAGAAGCAATAGGCAATGAGTAAATATGCAATGTTTATTTGCATTTAAATAATCAAGGATAGATTATAAAGATTTTACTAAAAAAATTAATTTCACAATATTCAAATTTCTGAAATCTTGTCAAAATTATAATACAGCTAGGAATTCATTATATATTAAAATCGTATATCAACATAATAAAACTTAATATTTATGAAATATTTTCAGCTTGGCTATTATATCTCTACTTTATTAATTAATAAAGTAGAGATATTTAATAATTGGTAACATATAAAGTGAATAACTTTAAAAAAACGGCAGTATAACATTTTTGAAAGTTATTTACAATATAACGTCAATTTTCAGCAATAGAAATCTTATTGCGGCATTTAACAAACTCTACAGTTGAAATGTAAAACGCAACATATAAAATAATCTTCGCTACTTTATAATAATCAATTTGGAAGACAATACAATGTCCTCTTACTAATCCGAACTAATTACTGTAAGGAGTTGTTTGGATTAGCAAAAATATTAATGTGGTTTTATATAAATAAAAAGTTAAAAACGACTATAACATGCATACTACAAATACACATATAAAATTTATATTGTATATGGTAAATATGTCTTCAAATAAATGTAATGTTTTGTTTTTTGGCTGGAAGATTTAGCGGAAAAACGAAGCAAATTAGTTCGAATTATCAAGAGTGCATTTATAAAAGCGGATATAAACAATTTGAAATGATCTATAAAATCTTAAATGGAAGTTTATTAAATATTTTTATACGCCCGTGTATTTTTTTTTCAATAAAATAATACAAAGTTTCAACAATTTTTTAATTGTAATAGTTATGGTACTCGTTTATTCGGTCCAAAATAAATACTAATAATAGAAGTAATTATTTTCTATTTGTAATTAGGCCTATCTCGTCTATTCCTATAATTCCTTTACATTACTGTATAACGATTTCTCCGGTTAAAACAGACAAGTAGTGTCATCTAGTGAGAATATTTCACATATATTTTCAAGTAATTGAAATATTAAAATTATTTAGGTCAAATGATATGGAAATAAATAATTTACTTCGATGTTTTTTAATAAAAATGATATTATTACTTTTTAATATTTCACAAAAGAAATGGAAATTAATTACCAGATCTTCGGTAAGTCTCTTGATGTCATTTCTCGGTAACGTCATCGACCAAAAGTTTTACTTTAAATATTTAAATACAGTATAGAGTAATTCTTAACTTGTTGCTATAGTTATTTTCGTATCTAAATATTTACAGTTTTTTTTTGCTACAATATTAATATCTGTTTTATATTTGTCTTATATTTGTTAATAGCCTACAGAATTTTTAAAGTGACGATAACATGAAATCGTACGTTGTTCAAAATTTTCGATTAATTAAAAAAAATTCTGTATTTTAAAAGATGGCGCGCCTATAGATTTTTGAATTATTAGCTTAGCGCCATCTGTGGATAACAATTTTAAATTCGATTTTACGAACTGGACTGTGAAGTTCGTAAATTTATTTTCCGTTTCGGATCGACTGTATTGTTACGTTGGGCAAATTGATTTCCGAACAAATTTTGCGTATGATATTGTTTAGAAAACTACTACTCTGCAGTTAAAAGCTCCTCCAAATTATTTAATTGCTCATTCATCCGTGACTTATCGGTGGCGTGTTCTCTGGCAGAAACTTTGCTCTCGGGAGAAAGGAAATCTATAAGTCAATTGGTCAATTGGCGGGGAAACTGCCTCCTCGCAATAATATTATAGGTCTTCGATAATTCTCGCATTCGCCAAAGTTAAAAATTATTACAAAATTTCTTTTGCGCTATTTAAATTCCGACATGAAGCATGGAAATTTAGAAAAATGAATTTATTTTCTTGCGTGACAATATTCTGTTTGAGAAGAGAAAAGACGGTGTTTTCGATCAATTTTCCAAATATTTAAATTTAACCATTTTCGAATTCATTACACTGGATAGAAAATATCCATCGATCATCCTCTACCAATAGTCTTGTCTTTAAAACAGCGATAAATTGTTCTATGCCCTGGTGTAACAAGAATTTTATATTGTTCTTTAGTTGTTAAATTTTCCTAAGGTATTACAATACTTAAATAATAATCCAAACAAGTTTAGATTTTGACAAATATAGGATTGATGAGTAAAAATTCAAACAGATGACCTAAAAACTTTTCTCGTTAAATTTCTATATAGCTTAAAGATAATATGCCATGTTCTTATCTCTTATTTCTATCGCATCATATTAAATTTATGTATTCGAAACGTGTGGAAAATCAGCATTCTCTGAAAAATTGCCAATAAACTTTATCACTCATTTCATTTAACAATAGAATACTTTTTTGTAATGTACTTTTTCTTAATAATTCTAAGTAAAAAGTTATACTAATAATGAGATTTAATTTTAATAAAAATTAATTTAAACTTTTAATGATAAAATAGTTAACAAAACTAAGTAAAATAACCAAAAAAAAAATAATATATTTTGTAATGTTTTTCCATTGTAAAATTTAAAAACGAATATTTTATATTCGAAAGTGATAGTGTCTAGACATTTTACCAAGCCGGATCCCCTATACTTCTCCCATTAAACGGTACAGTTCTTCGAACGTCAAAGCAGTCAGCGAGAGAAATGGGAGAAGTTGCAAGTACTGTACCACCTCGTCGACGTGCCGTTGTCGTTATTTCAAACTTATTTAGTTTTTCGAATTTATTCGATTAGTAATCAATTGTTTTTTTTAATACCAATACATCGATTTCCTCAGATCGGTTTTTTACTTCACCGGAAGCGATTCCGTTAAAAATAAGTGGCTCTTACGTAACTCTATCCTCTTTCACTGAGAGGACTAGATTACATTGAAATTTTATCGCTACAAAAAATTAGAAATGAAAATGTTGCGATTACGGCCAGAGGTTATTTAACATCTGTTACACATATCTCAAAATCGAAACCAAGAAAACAAAAAAATGTGCCTTTAATGGCTCCACCCAAAATTCATTTTTGAGATGCGGACGCGGTTAAGCTCCTCCCAAACGACGCTACCGTCGACGCCCTTAAATTAACAGATAACGCTCAGAATTTCGTCAGAACCTGGGTCACGTGACTTTTCAAAAAGGAAGGCGGGATACGGAGGGAAGTGGCGATAAAACTGGGAGATGTGTCGATATGGCAGGAATAAGAGACGATAAGAAAGCGTATGAAATACGCCCCCCGCGCGATGGGCGTGAATAAGACAAGTCGCGAATTATGTCATTGGAATGGAGACGCTTTTCGTTCTAGTAAATGCAGATGTATGGAGTGGGGAGTAAGTGGACGAAAGTGCACCGGAAGTTATGAAAATTTTACCGCCAGATGGCAGACGAACGGCCAGCATCCGGTGAACGGTGGAAACGACGCGCGGGAGAAAGGAGGAAGGAGGACGAACAAAGAGAGTTACGCAATCGGCGTGGAAACAACACTCGACGTGGCTAAATAAAACACTATCGGAGAAGTTAAAAGGGTTGACCCCGGCCGTTGGAGGCCAGGGGGTGGGAAAAGTAACGCATGCGCACGTCCTTCACCACCAGGGGAGCTGGTCACGGTTTCGGCGAAGAAAATCGATAAGTTAGCCGACAGAAAGGCAGCCCGAAAAGCCAAGAAAAAAGAAACAATTACGATAGGCCAACAAGAAAACTTGGATGTTATCTTCGCCATTCATCTAACAACTCCATGCTCCAGTGTCAGGCAAGTATCTTACGTAAACTTTTATTTGCGAAACGTGTTGCGTGCCGAAGGGGGAAGGAAAACCTGTTCTCCACCCGTCGATATTTTGGGGTCATTCCGGCCACCATTGCTCCACGCCGCTTTGTTATGGCGTCCGTAGTCGATGGGCGAGAGGCGACGAGTTTTCGGGATGGCACAGAAAATGTATGATATCTACCACATGGCGTGCAGGGGAGGTACGAGCATGGGCGCGGAGCATCTGCAACGGAAACGCCCTTTGGGTCTACCTTAGGCGTCGAGTCGCACCGGATCGTTGTCTCATAGGGCCCTGGGTCCGCCTCCCACATGGTGAGGGTGTTCGTCGGTGCATCACGGGCGTTGCCTCGGCCTAAAACGTAACCGCCTCGTTTCTTCGTTAGCGTCTTTTAAATTCCGGGTCGTTACGTCACGGCTGGACCGGCGCCAACATTGTCCACTACCTGTTTTTCATAATCGGTGGGAGGCGAGTGACGGAAGTGGTCTCCCCGGCGCCCGTCCGCGCACCAACGAATTTTGAAATTTTATCGGGCCCAATTAATAGAAACGCTCGGCGTCCCGGAGCGGGCGGACAGGAAGCGACGCATTTCTCTTTGGCTGACGCAACGTCGCGCTGTAAGTCGTGACGTAACGCCAGGCCGAAACTGCGAACCGAGCGTGAATTGCGAAGTCGATATCGGAACAGACGCGACGGTAACTCCCCGTGGGCCATTGAAAACGTCACGCACGACGGAAGGGGAAAAGATAAAAAGACTGCGTTGTTCCCGCCGAAATAATTAGGGCGGCGTTTATATGGCCGTTTATTTCGGTAAGAGGGACCAGACTAAGGGGATGTGGTCACGCGACGCTATATTTCCACTTTTCCGGCCTTCGTTTCGAAAACTGGAGGCGGGAGTTGGTTTTGTGTCCGCATTCTTTGTGTCCCGCCTACCGAACGGGCGGGGGGGAGGACAACAGAATTAAGTAGTCCCGCCTTCGGACATCTGGTGTATTCCTCCACACCTCCGCCCAACTGTTAAACTCAAAAAATATATCATACGTTGTAGTCATTACTAGTTTGTTTAGTTGGAGCTATATTTTTCGGCACGACTTTCTTCTAGAATTATAGAATGCCCTATATAAAAATTATTCGGGGTATTAGAATTTGGGGGACTATTTTGCGTGCGCATTGATCTTACCTCACCACGCGCCACGTGCAGCATAGATGAAGTTGGTTGCTCGTCGCCATCTTGGATCCGCGCGAAAAGCGTCGAACGGCGAGTATTTTGTTATCGAATCGCGTCTGGAGTGGTCGGAATGACTACGGTAGCTGTTAGGAGACAACAGCAAGACTACGTGGTACCGAGCAGCACATCTCAGGTGAGTGAGTTCGACTTTTTATAGACTAGCAATAGTCAAGATGGCGTCGTCCATTCTCACACCCCTTTCTTGGTCTGACCCCGCCTCACGCAGGACATCCAACCATCCCCTTTGGCACTGTTGGCGGCGACCTGCAGCAAGATCGGCTCCCCAACCGACGAGGGAGGTGCAGCTTCGACCGTCAAGTTGCAGAATCAAGTACTGCAAGCGGGTGAAGTGCCCGTGGCCGCCTCCACGCACTTCATCCCCGTCCAGAGTCAAACGGTCGGAGTCCTTAACCCCGACGGCACCGTCACCCAAGTAAATGCTCAACCCGCCGTCAAGACGACTGCCACTCCACCGCAGAACGTGGCTACTGTCAACGGATATCCGCAAGGCCAAATCGTAGCTCAAGCTGGTAATAATATTACATACAATGTCATACCAGCTGCACAAATTCAGAATATTCAAATCGACGGACAAGAAGCCATTTTCATCCCAGCTTCCTTTGGACAACAAACCATACAGATTGCAGGAAATCAGGCCATCATTACTCCTGCTGGACAGTACGTTCGGGGTCAGGTGCCCCAGACCGTCCAGGGACATCCCCAAGCTGTTATTCAAGGTGTGGGAAACATGAACAATGTGGCTATAGCTCAGATTGGTGGACAGAATGTGGCCATCAGACAGGGCAATGTGGTTCAGACTCTCCAGCTACCTATTGCCCCGGTTCAGCAGACAATACCGGTTCAGGTTCCCATTTCTACAGCCGGAGGACACACCATCGTTCAGACTATACATCTGCCTTTGCCCATGCAAGCCGTGGCCGGTGGAAACATGCTGGCCTCTGCGGGACAGCCTCTGACCGCCCAGGTGGTTTCCCAATTGGCAGCTTCGCAGATGACGCCACAGGTCACCCAGGTGAGCATTGAGGAAGGAGTGGAGAATGAGGTAAGTCTAATTCCTTTTTATATAAATAGTCTTTAAGTTCAATATGTTTTATAAATTCACATATATTAAATTGAATTTTTTTATTGCAAATTTTTGTTCGGAAAGTTTTAAATTAAATTGATTTGTTTTAATCTTAGAGTTAAGATAAGTTTTTATAATATTTAAATAAATTAAATTGTCTTGGAAACGATGATTCATATTTTTTTAAAAGGAAGTAATAAGTTGATACGCAACAAATAACTGGTCATGCAGGTAGTTCTGAAATAACTGTGCACGTAATGCCTGTATAAGATTTGTTTATGAAGACAGTACACGTATAATTTAGCTGCAGGGTTGTTAGAGTCGGTTCGTTTGGATTAGGTGACAAGAGTTAATTTCAAAATGAAATGTTTTTTTATTTTAAAATTAATGATGTGTACAAAAAGAATCGTTTTCAGTATTTTTTGTTGTACTGATTGTTTAAAATATATATTGGGAACATCTATGAATTTAAACATTTTCAGTATGTTCGTAAATTTTTTAAGGAAATTAAAAGTTTATTATTGTTCAGTTAGAAAATAATAGAAATGCCAAATTAAGGCATGGAATCGAAAGTTATTTGAAGAGAGTTTGCATTGTTTTTAAATTGCTGGATAAACTATAACTGGTTATCCTTGAACTTTCATCTATCTAAATATTTTTTAATGGTATATCAAAAACACATTTTCAAATGATTGATTTTTCGTGAAATTTATGCACATGAAATCATAATATTTAATTATTGAATTTAAGTTTATTAAAAATGTTTTGTTTCTTAAAACTTGTTTTAAGGAAAGTTAAGTCTATTTTCATAGACAATTAGAAAGATTCTAACATCNTATACGTAGTGCCTTTCCTCTCGGACGGACACGTGTCGCGTGAGAATGTTGTCGTGCACGTCAACTTGTCAGCGCCTTGTAAATTCTACTAACAAAAACATTCGATTATAACGAAAGTTGCGTGAAAATGTTAAATATACAATGCTCCACCAACATTTTTAATAACTCTCATTAATTAATTTGTCGGTTGAATTTATAATCGCTGTGGCAATGCAGTTGCACGTCGATAGGACGAAACCTTTTATTTCAGTGCATTTGGCAAAAATAAACTGGAATACTCTGTTAATTTTACATACATAAATAAGTATGTAGCTGTGTATACATTTGTAAGTGTGTCAATGCAATTCTTTTCAAACCGTTACATCTCATGTTTGCGTTTAATGATCTACGTCAAGTTATAACCGTTTTTACAGTTATCTCTCTTTTCCTTTATTACCACAATACTTACATATACACGATATGTTACAGACTATTCACGATTATCTACTAGTTTAATTATTACGTAATATTTTGTCGTCTTCTGCCATTGGGAATTATTTGAGGAGGGGAGAATTCTTATGAATTGAATTCTTCATATTGAGTTATTAAAATTAAATTTTATTTCATCAGAATATAGAATTTATAAATTAGAATATGCTATAATACATTTCACCTCTATTAATCAAAAATAGCAGCATTTTAAGATTTTTATATTAGTCTAATTACACATAACACAATGCCATACACACTATCAAATTATATCAATAGTAATCTTTTTCTTTTATAAATGAAATAAAATGGCAGTAACTTAAAGAGTTAGTCATTTATTAAAATTTATGGTTAATATTATAAAAAAAAGGTTATTAAAATTGTATTACAATTCGTTTTTTGTGATTGTTAATTTCAAATACAGTATATAAATGTGTATTTTAGGTGTTTTTGAAGACGACAATGTTTCCCACGTGGAAGGAGACGTTAATCCGGTGAGAGACATTAATATTATTAACGAGGAACTTCGCTTAAAAGACGAAGAATATTTAGTGGCTCTAATAGAAAAAATGGAAAGAACGGTATTAAGAGGTGGAGACAAAAAAAGTAAACCTGAATATGTAAGTTTCTGATATTAATAAAAAAAAGAAACTTTGAAAAAATGTAATCTGTAATAATATTTCCCTTCCTTTTATTTGTTATTTTAATGACAGGATATACTATGTAAAATAAGGAATCATGTCGTAGAAGAAAAGAAACACGTACGTTTCGGAGATTGGAACGCAAATGAGGTAGTTCGGAATACTGTATTGCAAATGCTTTCGAGAGCGAATATTTTATAATAAATAATGTAGGGTGTCCAAAAAACTGTATATACACTTTGATTTTTAATAATTCCTATATACATTTTAATAATTTTGTAATTTAGAGTAAATCATACTTACAGTATATAATAGAAGAGAATTGTCAAACAGACTATCATTGCGCGGGCATGACAGTGCATGAACTTTTGTGAATATGTGCTTCCGTAGAAAATTTTCCACGGGGCAAAGTTTGGAGACAAATAATTACATCAATAAATCTTTATTTAATTATTAATTTTTTGTTTTTTTTTTCACAAGTAGACTAGAGAATACAGTATTACATCAATACGCATCTCGTGGTCGAGGGTATAAGGTTACGTATCGCAATCACTTAACTTTATAATTGTTGGAATTTCTTACTCGATCTCAAGAGGGGCAATGCCCCGTTTGTCCCCTCTGCGGACGTCCACGTTTGTGACATAGTTCTGTCTAGAGTGAAATATTTAGAAAAATAATTTCAAAAATCTTTCTTCCTTTCACAAGTGAATTTTGTAAAGATAAGAAAGGAGATGAATAGCATTTATGAAAATGTTTAGGGATTTTATTCAGTATGAATGCGATTCATAATTTTAATGACGATGACATCGAACTAATTGGCAAGTCATATCTGATCGAATAGTTAACGGGTTCTGGTTAGTATTATTATATGAAATTATAATGCAAATTATTAAATAAAAATAAATAAATATAGAACTTATTAAAAATCAAAGAGAGTATACATTTTTTCGGGGATCCAATAGTTATGTAGAAGCCGCTATGCCACTCATTTTTAGGGGAGATGGCTATTTTACCCATTGTTTCACATATCTTGGCCGAGCCCGGTTGGGGTTCTGGAAGTTTTATAAAGTTCGAGAGCCATTTATAGTAACGCTCAGTGACCTTGTAACATATTCGCAAACAATCCGTTCCCTTCATTAAGTAAATACACTGGTCTCTGCTACTGGCATTTTTTACAGCTCGTCCAAGATTCGTGAAACGAGCTGTACTTGAACATTTTAAAAGAAACTTTAATTTGTTTATTTTAGTTTTAGATAAAGGAAAGATATTTTGAAAACTAGTTTTTAAGTCTGTCTGTGTATATTAATTAGTGCTAATCATTTATTAAGCAAAAATGATTTACGGATGCCATTCCCAAAATAAAGCGCGTTATCTGTGTCTAAGTATCTCTTGGAATTTAATTCACGTTTTGTTTTACAATTAAAAACTTTCCTAGAGTTACATATAAATCTTTCTAATATGACGTCAAGACTGTAACCACTAGCGCCACCTGTAACGGCTATGGGAACGATATTTATTAAAGTGTTTGATTATAGTTTGCTAAAATTAAGTTATTCAATTACCGAAATTATTTTGTACGTTGCTAAAACTATACTATTAAATAATATAAAAGAAACCTATTCACTATTAAGTAACAAGCTTTGAATTTTATTATTACTATTATTTAGATTATGCGAATATTTATTGTAATTATACCTTATTGAATCTGTCAAATCTATTATTTTCTACGGGAATTTAAATTTTTAATTTTAGTATAATTAAAGAAGTGAAAATATATGTACTGTACATTTGGTTTTTATCAATATAACATTCCAGTATTCTAAAATTTCACTTATTTCAGAAGTTGTAAGAAGACATATTTGTAACAAATTGCCAGTGATAGATATTAAATGTAGAATTATATCCTGCAAATATGTAGCAAGAAGTATAATGTGTAATTAGGTTAATTTTGTCAGTGAATAAAATAATAATAATATTAATAATATATCTAATGTAATCGTTCTCATATTTTATTTTGTAGATTGAGGTGTTAAACAAGCATTTGCTTCTCACTTCAAAACCTATGATCTATCTCATAAATATGACCGAAAAAGATTATCTCAAGAAAAAAAATAAGTGGTGAGTGATATTTGATATCTTTAAATTAATTCACGGACACTGGTATAAATTAATTTGGTAATATATAGCCCGACGTGCTCGATACAAACGAGATCTCTTACCCGTTAGAAGGTGCATCCAATCCCGGCCGGCTAACAATAAACAACGGCCAGACAATTTCCTCGGCATGATACTCTTAACAGATTANCAAATTCAGAATATTCAAATCGACGGACAAGAAGCCATTTTCATCCCAGCTTCCTTTGGACAACAAACCATACAGATTGCAGGAAATCAGGCCATCATTACTCCTGCTGGACAGTACGTTCGGGGTCAGGTGCCCCAGACCGTCCAGGGACATCCCCAAGCTGTTATTCAAGGTGTGGGAAACATGAACAATGTGGCTATAGCTCAGATTGGTGGACAGAATGTGGCCATCAGACAGGGCAATGTGGTTCAGACTCTCCAGCTACCTATTGCCCCGGTTCAGCAGACAATACCGGTTCAGGTTCCCATTTCTACAGCCGGAGGACACACCATCGTTCAGACTATACATCTGCCTTTGCCCATGCAAGCCGTGGCCGGTGGAAACATGCTGGCCTCTGCGGGACAGCCTCTGACCGCCCAGGTGGTTTCCCAATTGGCAGCTTCGCAGATGACGCCACAGGTCACCCAGGTGAGCATTGAGGAAGGAGTGGAGAATGAGGTAAGTCTAATTCCTTTTTATATAAATAGTCTTTAAGTTCAATATGTTTTATAAATTCACATATATTAAATTGAATTTTTTTATTGCAAATTTTTGTTCGGAAAGTTTTAAATTAAATTGATTTGTTTTAATCTTAGAGTTAAGATAAGTTTTTATAATATTTAAATAAATTAAATTGTCTTGGAAACGATGATTCATATTTTTTTAAAAGGAAGTAATAAGTTGATACGCAACAAATAACTGGTCATGCAGGTAGTTCTGAAATAACTGTGCACGTAATGCCTGTATAAGATTTGTTTATGAAGACAGTACACGTATAATTTAGCTGCAGGGTTGTTAGAGTCGGTTCGTTTGGATTAGGTGACAAGAGTTAATTTCAAAATGAAATGTTTTTTTATTTTAAAATTAATGATGTGTACAAAAAGAATCGTTTTCAGTATTTTTTGTTGTACTGATTGTTTAAAATATATATTGGGAACATCTATGAATTTAAACATTTTCAGTATGTTCGTAAATTTTTTAAGGAAATTAAAAGTTTATTATTGTTCAGTTAGAAAATAATAGAAATGCCAAATTAAGGCATGGAATCGAAAGTTATTTGAAGAGAGTTTGCATTGTTTTTAAATTGCTGGATAAACTATAACTGGTTATCCTTGAACTTTCATCTATCTAAATATTTTTTAATGGTATATCAAAAACACATTTTCAAATGATTGATTTTTCGTGAAATTTATGCACATGAAATTATAATATTTAATTATTGAATTTAAGTTTATTAAAAATGTTTTGTTTCTTAAAACTTGTTTTAAGGAAAGTTAAGTCTATTTTCATAGACAATTAGAAAGATTCTAACATCATAAAATTATTTTATTATTTTACATCTGCATATTTATTATATTACATATTTTTTATATGTAAGTTTTGTGTAATATACTGGAAATATGTAGGGTGTCATTACTATTAGTTTATTATTTAATATACAAATACTTTAATTTTATTTTTAATTATTGCAAACATTTGATTTTACTTTTCTGGCTCTTTTGTATATAATATGGGAAAGTATTGGAATTGTCAAATTTGACTCTTAAGTTTTTGCAAATTTTGACATTTTGAGACTCCAAATCCAAGAAGGTCGAAACAAGGTGTGTGTGTGGTGTGTCTGTTTCATTTAATATCTCAGGATAGGGTAAAAGTTAAGAAATGAAATTTGGCTTGACAACCTGTATATAAGGAGCATTGATTGTATTAAATTCTGGTGGTTAAAATTTGAGAAGTATCATGTGTCATATCTTGGGTGGGATCAGACTTAATGAAAATTTTAATTGTTGCTGGCATTTACATTTTTAAAATATCATCTCTACTCCAAAAATGAAGCCTTTTGTCTTTTTATTATAATTAATAATAATGAAGTTACATTTTTTAATAACATTTCATAACAGATGGCACTACATACAATTTTAACTTGCTAATATGTCTTTGTCTCTCAAACATGTTGCTGGATTTTTTAAATAAAAGTATCGATAACAAGATTAAAAAACTAGCTTATGAATTTGTTTTTAATGTCTTCTTCGAGTATTAGTATTTTTAATGGTAGTTTAAATTTCAGTTGAAAGTTGATATGTTTTAAAAGTAAAAATCATGGATTAAGAGAACAGTATTTATTTTTAATGTGTTATTCTGTATCAATTTTACTGTATCCTAATACCTAGGTTCTATTATGCTCTTTCTAATTACTCTACTAATTTGATAATTACTTGCAGTCTCAATTTTCACATAAGTAATATAGTTTTAATGATTTTAAATCAGGTTGAAAACTGGTGGCCTGCGAGCTGGATAAGGCTTTGTATCCAGCTCGCAGCCTTGATGCTTTCTTTTCTAAAAATTAATATTTCTAACATCTTGTGGGGATTAACACAAAAAAATTTCAAATGTCTAACTGTTTATGTAATTCATAAAGGCCTGACAACAAAAAGACCTTTGTTAGAGCCTTTTTTTAAATTATTTACTTTACCGAATAATATTGAGTACAGCATGCATCTGATATACATCTATTTGACTGGCCCTTTACTGCATTTGAATATGAAACCCCCTATTTAAATAGATTTATCACATTTGTTGTTTATTTATAGATACAGATATGTATAAATTTCATAAATAGTTTAAAATTATTTAAAAAGTTTTATTTTCAATTAAAATAAATTACATGTTTCTTTTATCTAAAAATACTTTTCTTCTTTTCATTCTGTTATCCAAAAGACATTAAAAAACTTTGTAATGATGTTATGTCTAATATTTAGTGTAAATTTAATAATGCTTTATTTATTTCTGTATTTGTCCTTTCAATTAAATTTAGAACTGAAAAATCCAGTGAATGACTTATCTCATAAAAAGTAAATTAAGACATTATTTAAATTATTTTTATGTGATAAATATAGAGTACTTTTCCTAATACAAATTACTGTAATTTTGAGTGGATAACCTGTATCAGTATGTAATGCTCAAAAATTGCTAAAATTGAAATATAATAAAACCTTTGCATAGCCTGTGACATATCCCATACCTTAAATTGTCTGTACCTTAAAATCATGGCAACGAAGTACTGTACTGTTTAGATGGAAAATAGTCCATTTATTTGCTTTCTTTAATTTCATTTCTGTTTTTAAATCAGATAGATGTAATTGTAAAATAAGTGAACTGGGAAAAAAATGGCTTATTTAAGATTGAATTTCATAAATTAAAAGTGTTGAAAATACAAGTGGTTACCACACAACAAAAGTTTTTGTTTTGTTTCATTTCTGTTTTATTTATCAAATAATAATAGTACAATTCTAAATTAATCTGAAAAAACTAGACATTTTAAGAAATAAATTTTATTTGTTAGTTTGGTTGAATTAACTTCTTTTCCCCTCCACAACCCAATTTACTTGTTCTAACTGATCAACAGGAGGTGGTGTTTGAATAGGAAAATTACTTTATACAAAGCTATCAGTGATTACACAATGTTTTTAGGGCTTTTGAGGATGCTGAGTTTAAATAGTGGTCCATGTTTTTCAAAATTTAATTACTTGGCTGATTATCTTTTCATATTTGGCTGTGAATGTATGTTAGAAAAAATTTGATGTCTGTAATTTTCTTCTCGTTCAGGCTATTTTCAGGGTCATGTAGTCAATGAATACTTTCAGTTGAAAAATATCAATTCTTGCACCAAATCAATGAAATTTCCCCATTCTAATATAATATACAGTTGTGAGGATTTGAATTCCTGTGTTTATATCATTTCACATTGTAGCTATACTTTCGTTCAATAACTGTCAACTTTTACACATGGGAGTTAAACATCTGCTAAGTTCTCAGACTTAATAACGATGCTTTCTCATCACCTTTTGACCTAGTATCGCGATTTTAACAGTTCAACATTAGACAAGAACAACAAAGTGAGCAGTCGTCGCCCGTCTTTCGAAAGAGAAGTTGTCACTCGTATTTTGTCCTAAGTGTCTCCATAGTCGGATATCTGTGAATATATCATTTTATTCTATGTGTTATATCCTACTAAAATATCATCGAAACCCATCGTAACATCGTTGAACACCTTTGCAGATACTTTACGTTCTATCATTCTTACGGATACTTCCTCTACCACATACAAGAACTGACATCCCGAACTTTCTTTCCTTCACCCAGAACGCTCGAGAATCTCAATCAAGACAGCAAAACCAAAAGGTATTTATCGATACGCGCAACTTATGTAAACTCTCTCTCTTATCGGAAAACCCAAAACGTAATTAATATCCTAATATCTAATCCCTATCGTAGATATGTATCTAACAGCAGCCCAAATGTATAGCTTATCGTTAACCATTAAACAGTTGTTACGTTAAAAGGTCTCTGAGTAAGTCACTTCCGGTGCGCTGTCTCTCCTTCTATCTTGACTCTGATCGCTCACACAAGCGACCGCTCATGCCCGAACGAAACGGTTTCTGTGTCTAGCTGTGAAGACACAGTGGTGTCAGTCCTGATGAAACCTGTCATTGCGATCTTCGCCGACGTGATGTCGACCCTTCGGTCACGTGGTGCCGAAGTATAGGGAAACCCTTCGGCATTGTCACATAGTAAGACCTTGTTTAGTGCTTAGGATGTGTTGCTAGATGACAAAGCGTTAAGTTAAACAAGGTTATTTTAATCTATAGTAAGCAGGGGAAGGAGAACATGCGACCAAAAATAAACAAAATTTACTTTAAGTTAGTTTTATATTAATTTGCATAATAATATATGTTACATAACACACAAACATATGCACACAAAAATATAAAGTTAATTTTTGTGATGAAGGTCCTAGCTCTTCTGAAATTCTTCATTTTTTGCGATGAACTTGCCTAGTACCATTTGTTGCATTCTTTTTCTTTCGTTAAGCAAATGCTAGTAGTAGGAGATCACATCCAAAATGCCTCGTCTTGCTTTTGTACTCCTTTCAAAATCTGGATCAACGATTTCAGTTATCATTACCAAACTTTTACTAAGGAAATCTGTAATGAGTTCTTTGTGTTCTTTGTTTTCAGAATCACTATTTTCCAGTTCTACATGAATTCCTTGTTCTGCCAATTCTTGGAAGTCATCGTTGGTAAGGTCCTCACCAGAAACCTGCAGTGACTTCTCAATATCTTGCCTATCTATATCTCCTAGTCTTACTGTATCGATTAGATTGACAATTCGGTCAATGATAGGCTCTTCTTGTTGAGAATTCTTGGATACCTTCAGCCATATCTTCTTCCACACACTGTTCATGCATTTATCAGTTAATTCTTGCCAAGTGAAGTTGATATTGCCTATGGCATCCATGGTGTTATATTTTTTTCCAAAATTGCACCAAACAAACATAGATTTAAGGGAAGTACAGTGCAACGATGCATTGCCACCTTTTGCTGGTTGGTTTGTGTTTGGGAATAATTTTGTTATATACAAATCAATAAAATGATGCAATAATTTGAATCAACATAAATTTT